TTATATGAATTCCATGTTGTACGAGTCACTTAGATTTTACAAATACGTGTGCCGGGCTGTGAACGGTTCACGTATTTGTAAAATCTAAGTGACTCGTACAACATGGAATTCATATAAAACGGTATTATCAACAGTGTTATAGGGGGATCGACTGGTACTTTAATTATTAAAGTAAATGTACGAAAAAAGCTTTATTAAATACAAAACAGATAAAAGTTACTACTTGATGTTTAAAAGTGTCTCAACATTAAAATCTTTGAAATCACATAATTCAGTTTAATTGAAAATTTTGCAATAATTTTAACATCAATCTCAATACAGACTATAAGAGCTAGTGAAACTAAAATTACGTGCTTTTTATCAAGTTTTAGATGAAATGTCTATAACTATAGTGTCTCTCATAAAACAACAACAATACGAAGTTTACATTTCCGATTTCAGTAGGATGACGTCATTCAGCTGACCAATCAGCGCATGTATTTAGGGTACGTTCGTTAAGTCGAAAGAGTTAAACGAGAATGACGTCATCGTTATACTTGTTTCGTTAGATTTTCCGAATGATTCGTTTAGAAAATGGCCGTTTCTAGATCTGAAGTTCTTAATATTGTTAGTGCGATTGTGTCTGAAGTATTTTCTTCGGATGATTCTGAAGACAGATTGAAAGTTACGTCATTTTAGAAAAACTTCAAAAAGAACAGGGAGACTGCCTATAAAAGGATACGTAGAAAGTATCGTTCTTTCATATTTAAGCGACGGCTTCTAACGTCATTTTAGAATGAAGAGATGCACTTTCGAAATTCTTTTGGAAAAATTAAAACTTAAATTCATAAATTTTTTCGGAAGAGCTTGTTTGTCGGTAATTTGGCTTCTAGCAAATCAGGAATCATTCAGGTAAAATAAACTACTTAATAAAGTTTAAAGCTAAATACTGTGTTTAAATTTATTAAATAATGTTTCAAAATTAAAGCGAAGAGAAGAGTGCAAACTCATTACGCTGTTAAGATATGGCTTCTTAGAGCGATTTCTAGGCACTTTCGGTGGGAATTTTGGATTCGTTCGCTCTTCCGAACGTCCAGTCCGTCTAATTCCGTCGTCTGTTTTTCATCTCGGAGGAGGAGAATGGCGTCGAAGCGGCGAGAAAAAAGGTGGAACCGCCGTCATCGGGAGGCAGGCCACGGACCGCCGCACAGTGGGACCAAATCCCGGAAAGCTGGCCAAAAGTCAAAGAATAGAGTTTAAGTTCCGGTAATTTCTAGTCGTGGGTTCGGTTGGATAAGAGTCCGAAGGTCGAATTCTAGACTTTAGCGCCCCCTATCCCTTATACCTGCTATTGTAGTTTATCCGTTTATAGCCCGAATTTTCATTTTTTGATAATTTTTTTTTTCTTTTATTATATCATTAGAAGAGATGTTTGTTCACAGATAAGTAAATAAAAAAAAATTAAAATGTAAATTAAAAATTTTTTAATTATGGGACTTAAAAGTTAGGAGCATGAATGCCCGTAATACAGAAACCTTACCGCAAACTTTTATATATTTTCGACAAAAAGCACACGAGTTATTAAGCTAGAAATCGGATTAAGAAAAACCTTGCCCCCACACACATCCATAAACTAACGTCACCCTTATCTCCCTTTATATAACATTAGTAGTAAATATGTCTGTCCATATCTGTTACAAGAAAAAAATAACGGAATTTTACAAGAAAAAAATAACGGAAGTATAGGCCTATATAAAATTAAAAAAAACAAAAAAAATAACATAAATCTTCCAATGTATTAATTGTGGTCCAAGTTTCCAGTAAATTTCTTAACCACGAACTTTCACGCTGAAGGCAGGCTCTCGGCATCCCTCGCATTTAAACAGCCTTCTCCTAGCCTACTTCTACGAGTATATATTTCAATCTTCTCCGCCGTCGTTGCTACAGTTGGGGAAGACAGTGGTTTGATGATTGTTGCCTCGTCCCATTTCACCTGAGAGCCTTGGGCCTGCGCCATTTGGGACAAAATCGTTGAATTAGACGCTTTTCTTATGGCATATCTATGTTCTTTGAGCCTTACTCCCAAGTTTCTGGTGGTGACGCCGATGTAATCTTTTTTAATACCCAGTTGTAAGTTTTCATAAGGAATCTTATACATCCCTGCTTTCTCTTTGATACTATCCTTATCATTTCTCAAGATCTTATACAAATTGGAGGCTCTTCTTAAAACCATTCTTCATTCCTTTCGACTAGCAATTTCTTTCATAACACTATTCATACTACTATTATACGTAAATTTCGTGAGAAGAGTGCAAATTCGAGCAGGCTCCGGACGATGACGTGTGCGAGGCGGTTTTTGGGCACTTTTGTTGGAAATCGTAAATTTGTTCGTCCAAGCGAAGGTCCGGTGTGTCTGAGTGGGTCGTTTTTTCCAGCTCGGACAAGGAGAATGGCGTCGAAGTGGCGAGAGAAGGTGGAACGGCCGTCATTGGGAGGCAGGCGACAGACCGCCGCCTGTTGAGGTTTCCCCGGGCCGTCAGCGGCCTCTTGCAGAGAAGGATGCGATTCTCCGTCGTCGATGAGTTTTTATTCTTTATTTTTTTAACGGGCGACTGGGATAATCGTTTTTTTTTTTATAAATTTTCCTTTTTTTTCTGTCGCCGCCTTCCGGTTCTTTCGCACGTTTCGCCGACGACTTCCGCAAATGCGCGAGACGCCGGAAGTCTCTCTATCTATGCGTTCTGCGCTTGCGCGGTCACCAGTGATCGTACCGGAGTGTGAGCATTACATGGAGCGAGTGTTTTGGCAGCAAAGTGTTTCGATGCGCTGGATGAATTTCGACGGTTTCGCGCCTTTCGAAAGGTAGGGAGGGTTCCTCGATTTATCGCGCGACCTTTAACCTCGCTGGCGGGCAATTGTCCGATGTAAGTTGAGGCCGTCTAGCGCTGACACCGACTGCGCAGCAGAAGTACAAGACTAGTAGGCGCATTTGCATAGACTCGCGTACCGAATCCCGAAATCTCGGATTTCGCCCCTGCCCCCAGATAGCCGGATTTTTCCACGCGGTCTCTAGTGCGCATGCGCGGGGAAAAAGCCAGACGTACATTTCACTGTCGGATCATGTAAAAGTTATATAAAATGTTATTTTTTCTATAAAAATTAAAATAATTAATTATAAAGTAGAGATTAAAATTCATTTAAAAACATACTTTTATACAAATTATTATCTCTTGTCAATGATTTAATGTGTTTAATCGAAATATACGTAGCAATAATCGTGTTGCAGACAGAGTGTGAAATAAGTAAACAACAATTCAAATCGGTGTGCATGATCGCCTGTGCAGCACATAAATTTTCGTGCGCGGCAACAATTTGAGCAGTGCGCGGCCGCGCAGCTTAGAGGGAACATTGCCAATGAGAGAGTGCGCGAACGTATGGCGCAACGTGTTTTACATGGAGTTCAAACGTCAAACGTCTACTTCCGCTTACCGTAAAAGTTTAACGTTTGAACTTCGGCCGCAACTTTTCTATTATACGAAATAGACGCCGAAACACACATACACATTTCGAGTAGCAGATTTCTTTGTTTTTTGAGTTTACAGGTATCAAACATTTCCAAAAACACGAATAGCCGAATGTGACAGGAATACAATATCACAAAGTATATTCTGTAAAATAAAACTGAGCTCTCATAGAAAAAAAATTCAAAATACAAAATGTCGACATTTTTGTATCTAAATAATAGAAAACATTTGGTTTAAAATCATCTAAAAATTTGCATCGACGTATATGTAGGATCTATGTGGACACCAACGTATTAACAGGAGCACACGTGTTAGCTCCTGAAATTTTAATGTCACACTAACAGATCCCATTAAGATGTGAGATAATTGTCACTAAAGATCCTGCTGTAGTAAGAATGCAAATTACATACTGAAAATAAACTTGGGAACCACACCAGATCAGATGAGAATGTGTAACTAATTGAAGCATCACAGGGTAAACTGACTTGTTTTTTCTTTAACATTGTTGATTTCGCTATGATCTAAAAAGTTTTGAAACATAATGTAAATAGAAACAAATATTTTAATGTTAATACAGTACATATAATTTTTTTTTATTTCAGTTTATTTTTTATATTACTTTTTTTCTATATTATAAGACTATGAGAGCGAATAAGCAACAAGCAGTGTTACCGAAGCTGTAAGTAAAATACTTTTGTAAAATCTACACTGATATTTTATTCAATATGCAAATAACATGAGAATACATCAAAGTTTTAATAATTACATAAAAGAAATATCACATGATTATGTTTGAGATTTATTTTATATAAACTATTTTAATTGAATTTAATTCAAATTTAGTTATTAACATTCGTGTTTCTGAATTGAGTTTTCTGAATTTAAAGAATTGACTTCGTTCGAAACAATTTCATTACATTCAAACTTATGTTTTTTCCTCTTAAACATAGAAAACGAAAAAGAATCCAAAAAGCTGAGAACTACGGGCAATAAAAAAAGACTGTGAAATAAAGCGAAAATTACCATTAAAGTTATGATTTTAAAAAATATTACAAATGATTCCGAGGGTCCAAAATACGCTACCGAAACACCCAAAACAGTAGTTACGCATCCCTGTAAGACAGGATATCCAGCAGCGTATAAGCAACTTCGGATTTTCTCATTTGGTGTTTTCTTTTTGCAATTCAGAAACGCGTAAGTCGTATGTACTGTATAATCTACACAAAATCCCGTACACATCACTAATATTATTAGTGATGGTGGATTCACGGTAACATTCCATAAAGACATGTATCCAATCAAGCCAACCTGAATAGAAACAATAGTCACGACGACAGACAAAAGAAACAATATGTTCGGAGTAAATAAAAGAAACACAATAATTACTGTTCCTCCTGCAGCACAAATCGATTTTACACAATTTGAAAAAATATTAACATAGACGTCATGAAACATAAATCTTAAATTATATACAATTACAGGAATTTTGCTGTCATCGGCAATTTTCCTTACATTTTCAAGAAATGATCTTTTATCAATTCTTAGATCAGAACTGGATATTAGAAATCTCGAAGCAGTAATTTTATCGCCTTCTAGATTAAAAATAACATCGTTTTTAAACCTGCCTGCAACGTTTACTTTCAAGAAAACATTTTTAAATGCACCCAGAAAGTCTTCAGAATCACTCAGATTGTAACCAGAAAGAGAAAACTTTGCAACTGGAGATTTAGTAAATGCCAGAAATTCTCTCAGCCAACTTTCTGTGGTCGACGAATCGGATATAAATGGAGCAGACTCGAAACTTTGCAGGAGATCTTCTATGTCATTTTGGACAGTGACATTCGAATAATCTAATGACTGATTAATAATTATTTGAACTTGATGACTATAATTAGAAAAATACTTATTTTCAATAGATGCATATCTAAACATATAAGAAAAGTTTGGAAAAAATATAGTTATATCGTTTTCTTCTTGAGTGAATTGCATACAATATATTGCACCTATAAGATAAACCATAAACAGAACAATTACGATAGTTTTAGCGATTGGTTTTCCCAGCATTTTGCCAAGAACATTGCCAAAAAATGCCATAAAGATATTTCGTTCTTCCTTGTTTGTCGATTCGAATTGTTTTTTGTTTTCAATTTTCTGGTGATTTCGGTTAATTGGCCAGCAGAAAACAGAATGCAGATTATACTTTTCTCTGTATCCATCTAAAGCCTTGAGTCCTCCAAAAAACAATAACTGATAAATGTAGTCAAACAGGATTGCAAGAGCTGCATACGCACTGAATATATGAATACATTTATAAGGTGTCAGAAATCCCATACAAAAGGCAAAAAAGTTGGTCAGAGATGTAATAGTGATAGAGACAGCAGCTTCTGTGTATGTTTCTTTCATTCTATCTGGAACAGAAGCGTCAACGTCAGTTCTTCTCCACGCAGCTATCAATATAAAGGCATCGTCTACTCCAATTCCTGAAAATACATCTAGAATTAATTGTATATTTTGATTACGTTATTTTAATATGTGCAAATTTGCAACATCATATTTATGTTAGTTAATTTAAAGTTCTAGTGGTCACTGTTTATATAATAGAATAATTAATTTTTTTGAGAAACAAATAACTCGTATAATGAAAGGTGGACACATATCATTTGAGTATTTTGCTTCTCCTATGCAATAATTAAATGCAATACGAATGTAATGTGGATAATCGATTTTTGGCAATTTCTGATTTGGTTGCAATGCAGCGGTCAGCATACATGCTAATTTGTATATGTCGTGTGTCTCATGTTATGATAATTAACAGCGTGTTGCAGTTGACAATGACAATAGGATTAACTTTATAGGCTAGTTCGAAATCCCTCCATTTAATTAAAAATACAAAGGTGATTTTAATTTTAAAACATAATAATGTATTGTTAATACAGTGGTGAAAGATTTTTCTATGAATTTTGAAAGTTAACTACAATTTGAAGATTTAATATAATCTGGTTATTACACTTTCTTTGTTTCTTGCAACTTAAGATAACAATAAAGCGTTATAGTATTAAACAGAGCAATATTTTCGTTAATGAAGTGAAATTTTTTAGAAAGAATTACAGTATACAGTGAAAACATGCATAATTTATATTTATGGAATACTGTACTTAACATTACACACTTACGTATGTTATATTTCTTTTGAATAACAGTTTTTAACTCAACGTATCATAAATTTAAAGTAGAAAAATGGCAACAAATATGTTCATTTCGAGAGGTATTCTTCAATTAAAGACCTACAGCACCCGTATTCTTTAAACATTTTAGTCATATGCACACAGCTTATTATGTAAAAAATAAAATGTATATTACGGTAAAAATTTTGCAGAAATCCATTTAATATTAATTTTTAATTTTGATAACAATAGGCGAATGATATTATTATTTGTGATTGTAATAACCGGATCAAACTGTATTTTGACAATGTTCGCAATGCTAACGAAACTTTATTAAACGAGGATAATCTTAATAAATTTAATTTCAACATAAATACGCTAATAATAGTTTCAAAATTAAAAAAATTACGTATTCTTAATTAGCAAATAATAGAACATCAACATGGCAACGACAAAGCAACTTCAACGATGTAGTTACCATTGACAAGATGAATGATTCTGTTTGATTATTGCTGTGTTTTTCCTGACAAAATTAAACGCAATATATGGGATTTTTCTATATATACAGTAGAGCGTCGTTTATCCGAAAGCTGGTTATCCGAAACGTCCGTTATCCGAATGCATTCCAGTCGGCAAATTTAAATTTTCGCTAGTGCTGTGGCGCTGCAATCTTCGGATATTTCTCGGGCTACTCAAATATTTTACGTTTTTGATACTAAATTAACATCTGAAGTATAATTTTTTTATTGTTTTTATATTTTTCAATATATTTATTTTGTTTGTACAAAATAAAAAAATAATTTTTAATGATACAATAGTCTTCGTTAGGCTTAACATCGACGAAAATTCAACGCAAAGCGACACGCAACGGAGAGAAATTTCAACAAAGGATAAATTAATATATTTTTTCGTACATGATTCGTTATCCGAAAAATAAGTTATTCGAACCACCCCAGTCCCCAATTGATTCGGATAAACGACGCTCTACTGTATTTACTTCGTGATATAAGATTGTCATAAGACTTACCTAACATCAGGAAAATAATCATAACGTTCAATGGGACATACTCCATTTTGCAGTAAATTAGTAGTCCAAATGCTGCAACAGTGGCTAAGAATGGTGATGCACAGCTAGCAATACCCAACCAGGGCTTACTGCTCAGTGCGTCAGTCGATAAGCAAGAAACTGCCGAGAATATCAACATAATTGGAGCTGCAATAATAATGAGAGAAAAAATATTTTCGCCATTTCGGTTAATTTCATTATTGGCAGACTGACTAACGAACTTATAAATTTCGATATTATTCATGTGAATTGTTGATGTTAATTCTAGAAAAGTATTTTCCCACATTAGTGCCATTTCTTTCGTTTCTTCTGTGGCATGGTCCAGTGGATAATATAGTCTAATTGCCTTGGAATCTCGAATCATATTTTTCTCGTCTACTGTGACACCTCCGAATTCGAAACCGGAAATTACTAATTTGCCATCAATTTTATCAACTGGATATCTGCAAATAGAACTAGTTAATTGTAACTATATGTAAATATGAATTATGTTATTTTCTTTAAAAACATCTTTTATAAAATTGAGAAATCTACATAACTTTTAAAATAATTGTTCTAAATTCATGACGATGCGCTAACCTTTTTAAAAGAAGGTAATGTTTTCAGTTTAAATTTAATAAAGTAAATTTAAAATTATGCCATTTAACAAAATATCTATATCTATATATATATATATAGATAGATAGATATAGATATTTTGTTAAATGGCATAATTTTAAATTTACTTTATTAAATTTAAACTGAAAACATTACCTTCTTTTAAAAAGGTTAGCGCATCGTCATGAATTTAGAACAATTATTTTAAAAGTTATGTAGATTTCTCAATTTTATAAAAGATGTTTTTAAAGAAAATAACATAATTCATATTTACATATAGTTACAATTAACTAGTTCTATTTGCAGATATCCAGTTGATAAAATTGATGGCAAATTAGTAATTTCCGGTTTCGAATTCGGAGGTGTCACAGTAGACGAGAAAAATATGATTCGAGATTCCAAGGCAATTAGACTATATTATCCACTGGACCATGCCACAGAAGAAACGAAAGAAATGGCACTAATGTGGGAAAATACTTTTCTAGAATTAACATCAACAATTCACATGAATAATATCGAAATTTATAAGTTCGTTAGTCAGTCTGCCAATAATGAAATTAACCGAAATGGCGAAAATATTTTTTCTCTCATTATTATTGCAGCTCCAATTATGTTGATATTCTCGGCAGTTTCTTGCTTATCGACTGACGCACTGAGCAGTAAGCCCTGGTTGGGTATTGCTAGCTGTGCATCACCATTCTTAGCCACTGTTGCAGCATTTGGACTACTAATTTACTGCAAAATGGAGTATGTCCCATTGAACGTTATGATTATTTTCCTGATGTTAGGTAAGTCTTACGACAANCCACATTAGTGCCATTTCTTTCGTTTCTTCTGTGGCATGGTCCAGTGGATAATATAGTCTAATTGCCTTGGAATCTCGAATCATATTTTTCTCGTCTACTGTGACACCTCCGAATTCGAAACCGGAAATTACTAATTTGCCATCAATTTTATCAACTGGATATCTGCAAATAGAACTAGTTAATTGTAACTATATGTAAATATGAATTATGTTATTTTCTTTAAAAACATCTTTTATAAAATTGAGAAATCTACATAACTTTTAAAATAATTGTTCTAAATTCATGACGATGCGCTAACCTTTTTAAAAGAAGGTAATGTTTTCAGTTTAAATTTAATAAAGTAAATTTAAAATTATGCCATTTAACAAAATATCTATATCTATCTATCTATATATATATATATAGATATAGATATTTTGTTAAATGGCATAATTTTAAATTTACTTTATTAAATTTAAACTGAAAACATTACCTTCTTTTAAAAAGGTTAGCGCATCGTCATGAATTTAAAACAATTATTTTAAAAATTATGTAGATTTATATAATATATAGTTATGTCCATTATATATATAGTTATGTATTAAATATAGTTATGTCCATTTATATATATATATATATATAAATGGACGTGTGTCTCTCTATACCTCACTTTACCGCCAAAACTACACATCGCACATGAATGGTGTTTGTATGTGGTAGTAGCCCCAAGTCTCCATTCGTGCACTATGGTGGTTGTGTGAAATCCGGAACTTTTACCGAATTTTTTCCGATTAATACCCCGCAGTTTCCTAGCCCTCCAATTTAATTTTTCTTTAAATTCTAAACGAAAATCTAACGAAAAAGAAAGGGAAAAATTCCAATCTCCCCTTTCGTTCGAAGTAAACATCCGTCCATTTCGAAACTAATTCCACATTCCACCTCCAAAGTTGATAGTTAGCATGGGCCCGGGAACAACTTTGACCCATTCGCGTACCTTTTACCTCACAACAATTGGTCACATGACTATTCTCCCACGACGAAACTATAAAAGCCAATTGCTTCCCCCTCTCGGGAGAATCGTTCATCAGCCGCCAACCAAAAGTTTCCTCAGAATATCCTATGGACTAATATATCCTTTTTTTTTATAAATTGTGTTCTAAGAATTCAGTTCGAACCCATCTGGATATCCTAATCATTTTCCTCCAGGATAAGTAAAAGACATAAAGAAGTATGGAACGAATTTTTGTGAACTCTCTCTCGGCCCTACGCGTTTTAGGGACTCATAATTTTTTCCTTGACATTAGTTATTGTAATATCTATGTAGCTAATAAATCGTTGTTACTTGATAAATTGGTGTTCTCTTTTACTTGTATATCGCCTGTCTTCTTACCGACGGCACTCCTCCCTCCGCCACTCGATCCGAAACATTTAATATCGTTACAGCGGGAAAAAGAGAAAATTTTGCCATCTTGACAGTTTTCAGGTTTAACGACCTGTTGCCGGACAGGGAGCCCTTCAACTCTCCCCGGCGGTTCACATCGCACAGTCCAAATGCATGACGATGCGCTAATTTTTTTAAAAGCAGGTTATGTTTACATTTTAAATTTAATAAAGTAAATTTAAAATTATGCCATTTAACAGAATATATATATATATATAAATGGACGTGTGTGTCCCTATATTTCACTTTTCCGCCAAAACTACACATCGCACGTGAATGGTGTTTGTATGTGGTAGTAGCCCCAAGTCTCCATTCGTGCACTATGGGGGTTGCGTCTCGATAGCTATCATGGTGCGGGAGATATGAGGCTGAAAGTGGTTGAAAGTGGCTTTCTGTTTCGAATGTTTTGTTCGAATTTGTTCGAACAAATTCGAACAATATTCGAATTAAATTCGAACATAAAATTCGAATATCGGTTCGATTATAGAACGATTGTAAACGTTCCAGAAACGTTCAAAGTAGTTCGTTGGACTGGACGTGAACAGGAGACGTTCAGAAATAAAATCGGAACCAGATCTCTAATTAGTCTAGAAACGGAGCACCTAATTCTTGCATTCTGTGAAAACGGGTAAGATTGGCTATAATGTAATTATCTAAATCTTCACTATAGTTACTTTTTGCCCAGCGAAGCGGGTCCTTGCAGCTAGTTTAAAAATAAAAATTAATTTAAATGATGTCACTGAGCTAAAGTCAATGATATAAAAATTTTTTGTAGTTAATAGTCGATATTTCAGCAAATTAAGAAGCCTGTAGTTTCTGTCAGGAACATAAAAACTTCGCCAAAAATTTACCTGTGATTACCCTGTTTATGTCGGTAAGTGACATAACAATTATCGAACTTGCAGTAAATTACAAGATCATCTTTCGTTCCATGGAATATGATTAAGAATATCTTTATTCTCATTATCCTAACCGTCTCAATTATGTAGCGAGGTTTGCAAACTCCCATATTATATTAGTTTTACACACGAGTAATTTTGTAGTGTCTGATAATACAAAAAGCATAGTTTCTCAGTGGGATTTCTTCTAAAAACATTTATAATGTTTATTTTGTGGTATTCATTTAATTATATTACCAATAAAATATTTTTACTATTAATTACTAAGTTTGAATCTTTTGTAAGTATTTTTAATTTACAAAATGTTATATTATTTTAAAGACGTAGATTTTCTTACCTAACTTTCTGATTCACATTACATGCAGTTAATAAAATTTAATTATATATTTTAATATAAGTCATTAAAATGAAATTGCATAGTTATATTACATTAATTAAAAAAAATGTATTTATAGACAAATGTAATTGTCTTTTACCGAAGAATCAAATTAAAAGTTGTTATTATATTAATAATATAAGAATAAATCTTACTTGATCTTGTATAATCCTCTTTTAATGTCATTCGTCTTTCCTTTTAATGACAGAACAAAATTCTCGTGGCAAGTGCTTCCGTCTGCCTTACAACACAGATCTTCGTAACGAAGGAATGCGTTATTCCATAGAACACTGACATTTCTAACGATTTCGTCAAGTTTGATGACTTCTTCAATTATTGATTCTTCTAATACGGAAGTTTCATATTTTGATGTTATCTGTATTGCTGCGGCTCCTTCCATTCTGGATAGTCTTCTATAATCACATTGTGACGTGTTTATGGGAAACGTTGATTCGATTGCTGCTCTATCTACTATACTTCTTGCATCGGTTGGTGCATAAAGATACTCTGCATCCATTGTAGGTGATACACGTAATATTCCTGTAGCTAACACTTGCGAAAATATTAAAAAAATTGCGACGTGTATTTGTGGATAGCATCCTACGTTGTAACCAATGCGAGATAATGTAGCAGAAACTACTCTTCTAACCACGTCAAGCTTCATTCTTTTACATAAACAATCAAAGCGGAAAAAAATACTCCGTAAGATATTTAACACAACACGTTGTATTCGAGTCTGTCTTAATCACATCTAGTATTTAAATACGATTCTTATTATAATGTTGTAATTGCGCATACGAAATATCATATAAGTCTTCTAGATCCGCAATCTGCCTATTATGAATAATATTCATTATTATAAAAATGCTTTTTATTAATGTATAATCATATACAGTACTTCTTTGTTACTTGTTTAAAAATACTTCTAAAATTTAGTAATTTTAAATGATTTAGTATCGACTGACTCAAAAGATAGCATATTGATTAATAATATAAGTCATCCGAACAATCTTAAATGTAAGTGTACTTACGTACTGCAAAGCCAGCGATTTATATAAAACTTGAATTACTGCTGAATATGTCTGGTTATGTTTGTTAAAACGTAAAAAGTTCAATTAAAATATATCATAAGATAAACGTCATTTCCAAGGAACAAAGTACAAATAATATGATAAAAGTTTTATAGGTCCACGTTATCAATCACTTATGCTATCATTGGAAATATACTTTGAAAGTGTAATCGATGTCGTAGTATATTTAATTTTAAATATAAGTTACAGCTCTAATTAATATTAATTTTAATGTTTTATATCGTTTGCTTTATGTCTTATAGATGTAAAAATTATAAATTGCGTTTATTTTAAAGGTTTTCATAGGTTACGCGCGGTGTTGTTGTAAAACATGTAAGGCAAATAAATGATTAGGAACAAGTGTATAGTTTGCTTTATTAATGATGCATTATTAATGGTTCGTTTATTAAAGGAATTGAAATGTATTAAACGTTGTTGTCTATAGAAAACATTATATTATTAAATAACAATTAAACATAATTTCGAGAAATACGATAACATTTTGAGTTAACTGAGTAATTCAGGCGAGGAAATGTTTGATAAAGCCAAAATCTGTTATGTAATAATATAGGTTTTACTGAATAGAATGACAAATTACTTACTTTATGTGTTTTTATTAAAATCGATGTTGTAGTTTATTTAAAATTAATTACGTATGACACGTTTAGTTTCATAGTAAAGTGTTTTTTATTATTGCCTAAGTACTTATCGTACTTCTGAGATAGTAATAAACAAGCATACGATGGAAATCGAAATAAATAAACTAACAATTTTGGAAAATATGCTTCAATTTATATTTAAATAAACAAAGAAATACTGTTTTAAAAACGGTGATTATTAGATTTGAAGTTTAATAAAACGACCTATTAATTTAATTCCTTATAACAACCATTTTAAGATTAATGGGGAATGTTAATTTTTACATATGACATACAGACCGATTATTTTGACTGTTAAATCCGGTTTCATTGAATATTTAAGTTTTGGTTTTTATTTGGTTTCGATTTTTATATAAAAAATTTCTTTAAACGAGTTGGTTAAGTTACCTGGGACGTGTTCAGTAACATAGAACACTGAGTCTGATTTCCGAGAGATTTACTGGGCAGAACTAAGAATATTCTGAGCATTATTGAACGATTATTCTTTGCTAGACAACCAGAAAAACTGGCGGAAAAAGTTAAAATTAAATAATTAATATAAAATATAAAAATAAAATTTTATCTATAAAAACGAATTCATTTAATAGCCATCACCAGCAGCCATATTGTCTCACAGAAAAGGAAAGGAAAATTTAAAAAGCAATATACATCAGTGAAATTATTAGCCATATTTAATTCTTCCACTGATGTGTATTGCTTTCCATTCTTTGCAATAAAACCAAACGTGTTTCTTATAAGAGTAAGAGTAGGAGAACATATGGCCAGTCATTAACATGCACACTAATACCCAAAAGTTAGTACCGAGTAGATTTTGCAATATAAGTTTGTTGTATTATCTCGTGAAATTAGAAAAGGTTTTCTACAGCTTTTTTGCAAATGGCATTAGGCTCATATTTCACACGTAGCACTTGCTGATATCCTACAGCATTAATCCAGAAATTTTTTAACACAACCACATTACTAATTCTGCACACGCCAAAGGGTTGTTTTTGTGTCTCTTAATAAGAGTCAAAATTTGTTTAATTTTTTAATTGTTTAAATGATTAGACAACTCTGTATACTGTTGGTTTTGACATCTTTACGGCTAGATTCGACGCAATTTGCTATGTTTTCTGCAAAGTACTATTTTTATCGGGATTTCGGTGTAGAGAGTCTTTGAAATAAAATTTTCTTTCACATTTTTTACAAAACTGTCTGAATTTCCCAGAAAATGATGATAACAACTTTCCTCTTTTCATAATAAGACCTCTAATTTATCATGTATTCCAGATTTTTAATTTGTAGAAATTCACTTCTAATATACTACTGTCCTGTATTTTATACTACACTATGTCCTATTTTACACATTTATTGAAATTTAATTGCAATCGTGTAAAAATTGGTAGTGCAGTTGCGTTAAACTCTCAACGGGCAATCTGCTCATAGAGTTTACACGAAGATCTTTGACATCGAATATCTCAGCCCATAGGTTGGATTTAAAAATTCTGGCTTCGTTAAGACGTCAGCCTGGGATTTCGAACGAGCTCTTCGACAAAATGGCTTCTTTTGCCATTTTAAAGATCTTGTTAGCCTTGCTCAAACAGAACCATAAGCTTATGTGAAAATTATACTCGCCAGACCCCATACATACAAAACCAAGATATCAGTTCAGTCGATTAATTTGAGGTCAGTTTACCTATTATTTGGTTTATATAAAATGACAATAATTACAACACACATGCAGAAACCATCTGTTTATAATAAAATTTCGTCATTTATTACAAAAAATTTGTATGTTATTTATTGTTATAAAATAGCAACAAGCTTAATTCTGAAAGTAGAAAGGAAGTTATATAAGAAATTGTAAATGCTAATAACGAATAAAATTTTAATTATGTCTGACCCTACTCGACATATGACAAACGATCCCTCTATCTCTCCATGGGTCGAACTTTAACAACTAAAAGTTAGCAGCATAAATTCCCGTAATACAGAAACCTTCCCGCAAACTTTCATATATTTTCGACATAAAGAACAGGAGTTATTAAGCTAGAAATTGGATTAAGAAAACCTGTCCCCCACACACTTACATCCATAAACTAATGTTACCCTTCTCTCCCCTTATATAACTTTAGTAGTAAATATGTCTGTCCATATCTGTTCAAAGTAGCATAAACTTGCATACTCCATTCTGCATTAAATTAATAGTCCAAATGCTGGGGCAGAAGTAATGAAAGGTGAAATGCAGCCAGCAATACTCAACCAAGGCTTATAAAGCAGAGTATCAGTCGATAAGCAAGAAACTGCCGAGAATATCAGCATAACTGGAGCAGCAATAATCATGTAAATAACAGTACATTCTCCACTTCGATTAATTTCGTTATTGACAGATTGATTTATCAATGTATAAATTTTAATGTTATTGATACGAATTTTTGATGAAATTTATAACAGTTTTCTCCCATTTTAGTGCCATTTCTTTCATTTCTTCTGCATGATCCAGTGGATAATACAGTCTAATTGCCTTGAAATCTCGAATCGTATAGTATTCATTTTCTGTTACTCCTCCGAATTCGAAACCGGAGATTATTTTAATCTGCCATCTATTCTATCAGCTGGATATCTGGAAATAACCAGAATAAGTTTATTGCAACATTATGTAAATATGAATTATGTTATTTTATTTATAAAAAAAGCATTACATTGCTAAGTAACAGTTAAACAAACATTGATTTTGTTTTTCATGTCCGACAATTGATTTTTGATACATTTATTGAAGCGTTGCGCGTGCGTCGTGCATGCAAGGTTTTCTTAATCCTAATTATAGTTCGCCATTCCTGTATTCCTGCCATTCCTTTAAGTCCAGATAATCTTCTGTAATCACATCTTGACGTGTTTATGGGAAATACTGATTCTATTGCAGTTCTTTCTGCTTTTGATTTTTGCATCGTATGGAGCATAAAGATATTCTACATCCGTTGTAGGTGATACAAGTAATATTCCTGTTGCTAACACAAGTAAAAGTACGAAGTATATTTGCGAATAACATCCTACGTTGTAACCAATGCGAGATAATGCGACAGAAACGATTCTTCTTACAAAGTCATACTTAATTTTTCTACAAAAATAAGCAAACACGAAGGATAATATTTAATATAATTATATGGAATTAGGATCTGTACTTCAATCACATAAAATGTTAATACAGTGTATTAACAATAGTTATTTAAACTATTGTTAATACAGTGTATGGAATTAGGATCTGTACTTCAATCACATAAAATGTTAATACAGTGTATTAACAATAGTTATTTAAACTATTTCGTTCAAATTTTTCAAAACTCTACTTCGTTATTTGCATAATAATCTTAATTAAAACCACTGTCTAACATGGATCACTTTTCAAATATTAATAGTAGTCCGGTATTAATTAGTAGTAGTTCACCTTCCTCTCTTCCAGGAGAAGATCAACCATCTCTTTTGGTCATATTACTCTAACTCCCTCCCTCCTCTACAGTTCTTTCTTTCTATGGGACCAACGGTATGGTTGCATTCGAATATGCAAGTTACATAGTATAAGGTTACCTGCCAACACGGTTTTCTAGGGTGCCGATTTTAAATATTTTGTCCGTTTTCTGCCAAAGTTTAATCGTTGAAACAATTCTTTATTCCTCTACTGTAAACAATTTAAAAAATTTTTAAAATTTTTCGATTGATCACAAGATGTGATGAACTCCTACGTAAGATAACCTTTTGTAGTTATATAAATCAAGTATTGTAATATTATATAAGATTTCTTATCTTATATAATATTATATAAGATAGAAAGGTTAAAAGTACGAAATAATCTAATAATTTTAATCCTTGCTGCTCTTATTTTTTTGCCAGAGCAACGCCGGGCAGTGAATAGATAATATAGTAGTAATATAAACAAACCAAATATTGTTAAAGGTATAATTATGTCTACTTACAAGCTTAATAACACCTGTAAATTTGTCGAAAATGTCTGAAATTTTGTAGAAAGGTTTATGTAATAGAGCAATTGAAACCATTAAGTTTTAGTGATTATAGGTCGACAGGGTGAGGAGATAAAGCAGAGTAGTGTGTCATATCTCTAGTAAGGTCGAACTTGATAACGATTTTACTCGTTATTAGCATTTTCAATTTTTTATAAATCCCATCTCTACTTCCAAAATTAGGCTTTTTGTCATTTTATAATAATTAAGAATAAAAAACTATTAATAATAAAACATCGTAACAGACGGTGCACACAGGCAGTTTTAAATGTTACCGCGAAAGTTAAAGAACTTATTGACGTATTTTATTGGATATGGAATTAAAGTTGATTAACTTGCAAAATCGTAGATTTTCGACTCGAAACTATTTCATTATTTGCTCCAAAAATAGAATTTTCTGCTATGCAATGAGCTAAAATGCATGACGTTTACTCCAACGACTAACCCAATATTTTATCACAAAGGAAAAGAAAATGTCAGCTGTATGCAAATTTTATACGAAAATAATCATTCTACTAATTCATTCATTCATACCGCATAATATTAGAGTAAAACCAGGTGAAATGCCTATTCGGGAGAGAAGTTTACAGGTTTTTTTTTATTCATATAATACTCAATAACGTCGCTAGTAACGTTAATGGAGGCTCTGCTTAACGTTCTTGTGTTTCATTACCTTTCGAATGACTGTTTTGCGGATTTTCTCGTAAATAATTATTTGTTTACCATCGCTCATACGGTTTGAGAGAGATGCCTACTTGATTTAGGGGAGAGATGCGTACTTTTTCTACAATATTCTATTGTGAACTTAATTAAATTTATAAATTTTAAATGCCAACTGAATACAAAAGAATGGAAACTGGTGCCAATGGGCTGAATAAGACTTAGTTCTTCCAGCTGAAACGGTACATACGAATCGTCTAAATTACTATCGAGCAAGCAAAGAATTTAACATAAACAAATAAACCGAACTCCAGACAAGTAATGCCGATTGGAATCGATGTGCGATGTACAAACAATGCGGTGTATGAAACATGTACAATGCTTATTACAGAGTATATTAAGCGTGGAAAATACAAAAAGCGCAAAATGTTGATTAAATAAAATGGTAAATAAAACCAGCATCTCAACCTTGAGGATTATGCAACTCTTCCGAGGACTGGAGAGTAGCACGAAAAGGACAAATGTCGTTTTGTTGCTCCCTCTGTTACGTCAGTTATAGATATGTTTCGGCACTGTGTTGTTTTTATTACCATTGTTTATTTTCATTAAAATATAACTCTTGGTTGTATATGCGTTATAGAGACTATTTATTTCTTTTGGAACCTCGAAGATTCTTTTATACTCTATAAATTCACACATGCTTTAACACTTAATATAACACAAAATTTACATAAAACAACGATCGATTTATTTTAATTTTTNGAAGATTCTTTTATACTCTATAAATTCACATATGCTTTAACACTTAATATAACACAAAATTTACATAAAACAACGATCGATTTATTTTAATTTTTTATTTTATTTTTTCTGTAAATTAGATATTAGACTTTTCACTTTCATTTTTTCGAACAGCCAGAGTTTTTTCAAATGTACTACATTAAGATTGTTGTGTTACATAAGCTATAAGTTACTAAAACATGTTTGTAAACTGCACACTAACATTCTGTTAAACACATGAACAACATAAACCGAATACAAATGTTTGTGAATTCTATTTCAATATGTTTATGAATTTACTGTAACCTCTTAATTTTAATTTTCTGCGATATTTTTACATTTCAAAACATTCAGTTCGTTTATATCACCTCCCCTGCACTCAAACTTATTCTTTTTCTTCTTAATAAAAGACAGCAGAATATAATCGAAAAAGCCGAGAATTACAGGCAATAACAGAAGACTATGAAATGAAGTAAAAATAACCATTAATGTTATAATTTTAAAAAATATTACAAATGCTTCAGCGGGGCCGAAATACACTACCGAAACACCCAAAACGGTAGTTACACATCCTTGTAAAACAGGATAACCAACAGAATATAAACAACTTTTAATTTTCTGGTTAGGTGTTTTCTTTTTGCAGTTGATAAATGCATAAGCAGTATGAACTGCATAATCTACACAAAATCCCGTACTCATCACTAATGTTAATACTGAGGGTGGGTTTACAGTCACATTCCATAAAGACATGTAACTAATCAAACCAATCTGAGTAGAAATAACACTTACGGTAATAGACAGAAGAAACAATATATTCGGAGTAAATAAAAAACACACTAAAATCACTATTGCCGCTGCAGAACAGACAGCTGTTATACATTTTGAAATAATATCAACATAGACGTCATAATACAAAAATCTAAAATTATATACAATTACAGGAATTTTACTGTTATCGGCAATTCTTCTTGCGTTTTCAAGAAATGATCTTCTATCAATTCCAATTTTTAGATCATAACTGGATATATGAAATCTCGAATAAGTAATTTTATCACCTTCTTTATTAAAAATAATATCATTTTTAAACCTGGTTGCTATTTTCATTTTCAAAAACACGTTTTTAAATGCACTCAGAAATTCGTCAGAATCACTCAGATTGTAACCAGAAAGTGAAAACTTTGCAACTGGAGATTTAGTAAATGCCAGAAATTCTCTCAGCCAACTTTCTGTGGTCGACGAATCAGACATGAAAGGTGCGGATTCGAAACTTTGCATAAGATCTTCTATGTCATTTTGGACAGTTACATTCGAGTAGTCTAGTGTCTGGTTAATAACTACTTGCACTTGATGACTGTAATTAGAAAAATACTTATTTTCAACATTTACATATTCAAACATATAAGAAATGTGGGGAAAAAATATAACTAAGTCGTCTCCCTCTCGAATGAATCGCATACAATATATTGCACCTGCTATATAAATCAAGTATAAGACAATTACGACAGATTTAACGATTGGTTTTCCGAGCATTTCACCTAAAACATTGCCAAAAAATGCCATGAAGATATTTCCTTCCTTTTTGCTTCTTGACGTAAGTATTTTGCTATTTTCAATTTTCTGATGATTTCGTTTAATTGGCCAACAGAAGACACAATGCAGCTCATGTTTCTCTCTGTATCCGTCTAAAGCCATGAGGCCACCGAAAAACAATAATTGATAAACATAATCGAAAATGATTGCTAGAGCTGCATACGCGCTGAATATATGAATACATTTGTATGGTGTAACAAATCCCATACAAAAGGCAAAAAAGTTGGTCAGAGACGTAATAGTGATAGAGACAGCAGCTTCTGTGTACGCTTCTTTCATTCTATCTGGAACAGAAGCGTTAACGTCAGTTCTTCTCCACGCAGCTATCAATATAAATGCATCGTCTATTCCAATACCTGAAATTTTGAAAAATATTATTTTTTGATGTATGATGCTATTTTAATATACACAAATTGCAACAATATACAGTTGACCCCCTATAACGCGGTAGATACGTTTCACTTTATAAGAATTTCACGTTATAGAAATCCTTAAATACATGAGCCAATCACAGCCCGGCACGTGTGCAGTTTGCAGACTACGGCTGTTTGAAAGGTTTTCTTCCATAAAATTAATCGATTTTACACTAATTCGATTCAACATTTTCAAAACACGTATAAGTTTTTGCAAATAATCCGTATAAACTATGCTATAAACAAAAAATTGTAGGATTACTTACCGAGTGTGCACCGTTCGACGACGCCATTGCTTAAGCTTGCCTTCGTCGCGGAGCAGCGCACCAAACGGCGGGAGCGTTTTCTGATAAGTTATTTTTCTGCGAAAAATTCGTTGAACTTTGGAGACATCATTAATAGAAATAATTTTTATGGCCGTTGAATGAGAAATGTTTTTTTTTTCACAAGAAATGTATAAAATTACAGTACTGTATTAGACTTACAGTACCTAATTTATATACTGTACAGACGATAGTAAGCTCAACTTACACGTCTAAACTCTCTGGAGCGTGTAAGTAGTTCGGCTGCTCGTCCACTATTGGTCCAGATTCGACCAATACTGTCGCGACACAAGTCGGCGATGACGTTTTACCGCATTTTACGAGTCTCTTTTAGCGTCTTTATACGAATACGGTTGCAATTTTTTCGCCGCGTTATACGAATCCGCATTATATGAACCCACGTTATAAGGGGTCGACTGTACTTAATCTTTTAGCATATAGTAGAGTGTTTGTGGTATAATACATTACAAGTTTATGTTGTAAGCAAAATATTACTCTGGTTATCTTTGGTTTTGCTATATATTTAAACATTATGGTTGATCGTAAGGTTAGAACTAAGTATTTTATAATAGAAAATTGGAAACTATGAATTCGATATTATTTCATTTTTTAAGATGGGGAATTATATAACACAAAAATAACATAGGACTACATGTCCTTTCAGCTACAAAATAAATAACTATATTAGCATTACGCTACAATCAAGCACTACCGGGGCTGTTCGTTAATTTGTATATCGTTATCCTACTTAAGTAGACAACTCCTTTATTGGGTGCAATGAATAATATCTAAACGTATTAAATACCAAAGTTGCAGACAATGTAAGGATAGCTGCGTGAAGTTTCTTTATCTGGTCTCTAGTGCTCAAGTATTTTTAGTGCTCAACTTTGGTCGAATTCGATTTTAAACCCCTGGAGCATTGTAACTAAATAAAGATTTTTTTCTAAGTCTAGAAATGTTCTATGACATATGCCATTATATTTTACAGTATTTTAGAAATAGCTTGCCCTCGTGGGAAAAAATGTTTGACGAGCACGTGATATCTAAACCAAGAAATGGATCATTACTGATTACCGTACGGTTTATTTTATTTTTGTTATTACTTATCACAAACATCTCTAACCTTTTTCTGAGAAAGGCAGGAATTTCAAAGCCTGCTTTTATCATAACTAAAATTTTTCTTTAGATCGAAATTGAGAAGTATAACTATTGGAAAAGTCGAGTCATGCAACGATATCATCGGCTGTGTGCGTGCTCATCGGAGGACCAGACAGTCTTCTCGGCGACTTGTCTGCTGAAAACGTCCTGAGCCTGAGAGTTGTGTGTGAGCTGTCTCGTTCACTGGTTCCATCACAGTATTGTCAGAACGGCCAAGGTGGCGCGCTATTCGGGAAGATGATCATCCGACTTCTCTCAACCCGATGATCCTTTCTTTCTCAAACTCGGTTAGATGTTCATATGGTCTTCGATTGCGACATCCTGTCTGTAGTTTACCTGTTGCCTCTCTTCGCAACAGGTCAACTGCAAATAGAATGTCTTTGCGCGCTTTTAGTGGACAAGTGGAACGCAATCAGCCTTCATGATATAACTCTAACCATTTCTGTTTTTGATTGAGACTTACCTGCATACCAAGTTTCTGAGCGATACCATAAATTGTTCTTATTGCGCTGTTTCTTATGGTAAGAAGTGTATATCCTATTTAGTATAAGACTTACCTAATACCAGGAAAATAATCATAACGTTCAATGTGACATACTCCATTTTGCAATAAGTTAACAGTCCAAATGCTGCAACAGAGGCTAAAAAAGGTGATACACAGCCGGCAATACCCAACCAAGGCTTACTAAGCAGAGTATCAGTCGATAAACAAGAAACTGCCGAAAATAACAACATAACTGGAGCAACAATTACCATAATAAACAAAATACTTTCTCCATTTCGGTTAATTTCATTATTGATTGACTGACTCAGAAATTTAAAAATTTTAATATTATTCGTATGAATTTTTGATAATGTTTCTGAAAGAGTGTTTTCCCACATTAGTGCCATTTCTTTCGTTTCTTCTGTGGCATGGTGCAGTGGATAATACAGTCTAATTGCCTTGGAATCTCGAATCAAATTTTCCTCGTCTATTGTGACACCTCCGAATTCGATACCGGAAATTATTAATTTGCCATTAATTCTATCGTGTGGATATCTGAAAATAAACACAACAAATTTGTTTAACATTATATAAATATAAACTGTTATTTCCTTTTTGAAAATTTATCGTATAAAACTAAAAAGTCTACATGAAACTGTCATTCTCCCACCGTTTACTTTCACTATGATGTTCATTTACTTATATTTCTTATAAAAAGTCTCCCTGTAATCTATTTTTATACATCTTAAATGAAGCTTTTCCATTAGAATATAATTCAGCTATACCTAAAGCAGGCCTATTGCTATAATTTCGTGACAGACATTAGCTAGCAGATAAATTCCAGTTTCCTAACCTTTTTCTTCACTTGCCTGTTAATACACAAGTAATCTCTAAATTTCACTTATTTCGAGAAGTCTACAGACAAGAAAATTCAGCAACGGTTTCTTAAATTAAGCGTTCCGGTGACATTTGGTGGCGTCATCTGTTATCATATTTTATTTTAGAAATTTTATATTGTTTATAAATACAGATCTTTAAAAATTAATATAAACATAATTCGAAATGATGAAGACATTTACTTGAAAGAGTTATTTTAAAACAAATATAATTGACATTAACGTAATAATCAATAGAATATAATAATTAATCTTACTTGATTTTGTATATTCCTCTTTTAATGTCATTTGTCTTTCCTTTCAATGACAGAACAAAATTCTCGTGGCAAGTGTTTCCGTCCACCTTACAACATAAATCTTCGTAACGAACGAATGCGTTATTCCATAGAAAACTGACATTTCTAACGATTTCGTCAAGTTTGATGACCTCTTCAATTATTGATTCTTCTAGTATGGAAGTTTCATATTTTGACGTTATCTGTATTGCTGCGGCTCCTTCCATTCTGGATAGTCTTCTATAATCACATTGTGACGTGTTTATGGGAAACATCGATTCGATTGCTGCTCTATCTACTTTACTTCTTGCATCGGTTGGTGCATAAAGGTATTCTGCATCCTTTGTAGATGATGCACGTAATATTCCTGTTGCTAATATTAGCGAAAATATAAAAAGAATTGCGACGTGTATTTGAGGATAGCATCCTACGTTGTAACCAACGCGAGATAATGCGACAGAAACTACTCTTCTTAGAATTTCATGCTTCATTTCGCTTGAGAAAAGAATTAAAACCAACAGGAAACATATAATTACATGGCATTGATTTGACTCAATGACATTAGGTGTGTATTACGCAACGTAACGGTATAGTAGAAAAATATGTTGAGTATGTTATCAAAATCAAAGTTTCCAGAAAGAAAACTATTTACTGCACAATAAGGTGTGAAAATTCAACCACGTACAGTACATGAAATTGATGAATTCTCTGGAACTTCTTCTGCCTGTTATTAAAACACTTCGCATTAGTTTAAATTACAATTTATTGGTTAATTTAACTAGTCACAATGAACGTATTTCTTATATTATTTATATTATGTTATCAGTATATGCAATCAAACCCCGTGTTATGCGTATTGAACGTCAATGAGAAAAGGATTTCCGTTTATCTGGACGAGGATATTTATTTAAGCGTTATTCAATTCGGCTAATAAAAAAAAATATATGTTAACATATAATATGAAACGTGTCGAGCTCTCGCGAATACAATTACATTCAAATAAGTTGAATTTAAGCTGATTGAATAGATAACATTACAATAAGAATAATAAACTAAATACTTGTTAAATGTATAGGTATATGTACTTACGTATTGTAGAGCTTGCAACTTATATAAGTTTTAAAAATGAAACGTTCGATTAAAACATATCGTAAGATAAAAATCCCTTTCAGAGAACAAAGTACAACTAATAGGGTAAGGAGTATTAAAGCATATCACAATAGGTCATCAATTACAGATATTATCATTAAGAACATTAAAAATTTAATAAAACTAATTTACGTACATGTATGTATATACAGAATATTTATCTGAATTTAAATCTAAGTAACAGCTTTATTTAATATTAATTTCTGTATTGTGCATTGTTTGCCTAACTTTTCATTATTATAGATAAAAGAATGATAACAACCGTTTATTAGAATCAACAGTTGGTGCCATTAAATTTACACATATGTATTATTATTATTAATTTTATATTATTATAAGATTCATTATTAATTTTATAAGAAAATTATTTTAAAGTTGAATTTAGTAAACTGAAATTTTAAATAGTTTGCTAATAAGTGGTGATTTTTATTGTCATTCGCAATAAAATGTGATTATATTCGTGGCTAGAACAGAAGCGATGACTTCAGTTCATTTCATGCAGCTATCAATGTTATACGCACTGAAAATAAATTATGGGTTTTTAATAATATTATTATAATATATAAATATTTGCAACAATCTATTGATGAAAGTCAACGCTCTATCGAGATATGGATATTGCTGAGAGAGTATTTAATTGTTTTGACGATTAAATATAATACATGTCGTAGATACAAACATTTTAACAGACGAAATGTTACCTTTTCTAAGTAATAAATAAAAGTAATTTGGAACAAAAGTATACAGATTTTATTACAACGGAAAAAGTAATTGAATGTACTTATTATATACAAAAGTTTATTCTGACACTTTTTACAAAGGTCATACAATAAATCATCTTTTAAAGAAATATTATACACGATATAAACATTAAATCTATCTTTTATTTTTTATAATAAAACAAACAAATCAACAGAAATATTTATTTAATTATAATTATTCTATTGAATTCTGTAACTTCAAAATTAAATTTTTTAATTAATGTGTTCCAACAAAATAAAAATCTAAATAAGCAGAAACAAACATTCCTGTGTTATGTAAAATTACTAACTCAGTATTTTTTTTTAAATATACCAACGATGTAAAACGGAAATAAATGTTATAGAATAACTTATAAAAAAGTTACGTCAAATCTCTTACGATTTAAATTTACAAAATGAAACCAAATAAATATACGAGTAAATTCTTAACTTTCATAATGTTTTGACACTTCAAACTCAACTTCGTTTACATCATTTTTATTGCACCTGAACTGGTGTTTTTTCTTTTTAAAAAAAGACAGCTGAATTCCATCGAAAAGGCTGAGAATTACAGGCAATAAAAAAAGACTGTGAAATGAAGCAAAAACCACCATTAACGTCACAATTTTAGAAAATATCACAAATGCATCAAATGAAGAGAAAAAGATTACCGAGACACCCAGAACAGTAGATAAGCATCCCTGTAAAACAGGATATCCAGCAGCATACAAACTACTTCTGATTTTCTCGTTTGGTGTTTTCTTTTTGCAGTTGATAAATGCGTATGCCGTATGAACTGTATAATCTACACAGAATCCCGTACACATCACTAAACTTACCAGAGTAGATGTGTTTACGGTGATATTCCATAAAGACATATATCCAATCAAACCGATCTGAATTGAAACAATAGTAATGGCAACAGACAAAAGAAACAATATGTTCGGAGTGAATAAAAGAAACACAAAAATCACTGTCCCTGCTGCAGAACAGATAGCTTTTATACAGTTCGAAAAAATATTAGTAAACATGTCATAAAACATGAATTTAAAATGGTATATTGTAACAGGGATTTTACTGTTATCGGCAACTTTTCTTACAGTCTCAAGAAAATGTTGTTCATCAATTCCAGTTTTGTTATCGTAACTGGATACGAGAAATCTAGAAGCAATAATTTGATCACCTTCTTCGTTGAAAATAACATCATTTTTAAGTCTACTTGCTATTTTGAGTTTTAAAAAGACATTTTTAAATGCACTCAAAAAGTCATCAGAATCACTCAGATTGTAACCAGAAAGCGAAAACTTTGCAACAGGAGATTTAGTAAATGCCAGAAATTCTCTCAGCCAACTTTCTGTGGTCGACGAATCAGACATGAAAGGTGCAGATTCGAAACTTTGCAGGAGATCTTCTACGTTATTTTGAACACTGACATTGGAATAATCGAATGTTTGATTTATGACTATTTGCACTTGATGACTATAGTTAGAGAAATACTTGTATTCAAAGGTTACATACTGAAAAATATAAGAAATGTGGGGAAAAAATATAGTAAAGACCACTCCCTCTCGAATGAATCGCATACAATATATTGCACCTGTTAGATAAATAATGAAGAGAACAATCACGATAGTTTTAACGATTGATTTCCCAAGAATTTCGCCTAGTACATTGCCAAAAAATGCCATGAAAATATTTTCTTCCTTTTTGCTTGTTGCAGTAAATTGTTTTCTGTTTTCAATTTTCTGATTAATTCGTTTGATTGGCCAGCAAAAGACAGAATGCAGCTCATACTTTTCTCTGTATCCGTCCAGAGCCATGAGCCCTCCAAAAAAGAATAACTGATAAATATAATCAAACACGATTGCTAGAGCTGCATAAGCGCTGAATATATGAATACATTTGTATGGTGTTATGAATCCCATAGAAAATGCAAGAAGATTGGTCAGAGACGTAATAGTGATGGATACTGCAGCTTCGGCGTAGGCTTCTTTCATTCTATTTGGAACTGGATCATTGACATCTGTTCTTCTCCATGAAGCTATCAATATAAAGGAATCGTCTACACCGATACCTAAAATAGACATATTTATACGAAATTAGTGGTGATTTCAATAATATTATATATAAGTATGTGGAATATGTTTATCGCTATGCTACGTGTTTAAAACAATTACTTGGTATATATTGTTGAGTAATCCTATACACTGCATTATCAGGATGTTTAATGCAGTTTTAATGTATCACGTGTAACAGATGATAAGGAATAAGAGAAAATGTATCAGTTTGATAACTAAAACTATTTAAGTAATATTCAGATTGTTTTTTTCATATAAAAAATATTTTATACTACATATGCGAAATAAATGAATTCTACAAGCTATTTATGCTTTTATGGAAAATTACTACCCAGGGGTAGCAATCCTCCATAAAAGGAGAGGACTGTTATGGGAATATTATGGGAAGCTGGCTCGTATTTGGTTGTTACGTACTGTACGTGAAAACCCCCCCAAAAAATCGCTACGTGGCCAGCCCGAAAGCATTGTCCTTTGATATTATCTATTCGGTTACTGGTCCATCTCGAATTGCTATTAGCAATCCGAGATGGACCAGTTAGTCTTCTGTTACATGGTCCAGTTGATAATAGTGTTAATGCCTTGGAATCTAAAAGCATATTTTCGTCATCTACAGTGACACCTCCAAGAAACAAAAGTTGTATCTCGGATTGCTATAAGCAATCCGAGATACAACTTTTTCGATTAGCAAATTGCTAATCGAAAAAGTTGATATTTCATACATGAATCCTAAATCTATCCGATGCCAAAATCGAAATTTCATATTTCTCAGTTAATAAGACGTAAGTTTCGATACATTGTGCGACGATTTATGCATTGGTTAAATTTTTTCTGTAAAAAGTGAAAGGTTTACTTTCTTAATGACAGATTTTTATAGTATTTGTGTTTAGCATTCTAGAAACGAATCGACTATTGTCGCATTCAACTGTATAGTTTGATTTTGTATAATTCGTCTTTAGCACGCATCTTTCTAAACGGACTACGTTTGAAGGTCAGCACTTATTTATTATGTAGTTATGCACGAGATAAAATTGTCCAATTATCTCAAAACTCGGCTTACAGCTACGTAACGAACAGTTATGTATATACAGTGGAACTCCGGTTAACGAACGTCCTGGTTAACGACCAAATCGGTTAACAAACTATTATTTTGCAAAAATTTTGTCTCGGATAACGAACTTAACGGCTTTTTGTGTCAAATTTGTAAGCTTGCCGACTTTTAGGGAAAATCAGTTAATCGTGTGTCGGTGATGGTCTAGGGTCCATTCGTACGTTGGTGATGGCGGAGGAGACAAAGATGACAAGTATTTTATAGTGAAAATCGTTTATTAGAACGGGAAGATGCTTACATATTTGTACTTATATTTGGCTTATCTACAGTATTTTCTCTCGGCACTGAGGAGTGGCGTATCGCTGGTCCTACGATAGTGCAAGCTGATCAGTCGTAGTCCCAGAGAGGACGAGATGAGTTCGCTTGGTCACAGAAGCGATGGTAGGTGACAGAGCCGCAAGACTGGAGCGGTCCGCGAGACACAACACAAATTTTAGCGGGAACGACTTCAGGCTTAATCCAGACGAACACGACACAGATTAATCGCCATAGAATTTTTAGGAAAACTGCGTTTTGACCTTGATATTCGGGGTTTTTATAGTATTTTTTCCTTGAATCTCACCTTACTATTTGTCCTACGTCCCATTCCTCGCTTCCCGATTGTTTTATTTTTTGTCTCCAGGTGAAAACCGAAACTAGATCAGGTCACGAGAAAGGTTTGTTCCGAGGCGTTTATTTGACACCTGTTCGTCGACTCTGATCGGAGATTGTTGATAAACCTACAAGCCTTTCGCTCATAATTTAGCCTATTGTTTCTGCTATCTGTCATTTTAGAACTTTAACGATCGTATGTGATGTTTTATATACCCGTCAAATCTTTCCTTTTTTCCGAAAATTTAACGTAGATCGACTGTTTATGAGTACGTTTTCCTATATTTTCATTAAAGAAATCCCATTTTACAAATAAAATTACAAAAATACTGACGGCTAGAACGGATTAATTGTATTTGCATTAATTTCTATGGGAAAAATTGCTTCGGTTAACGAACAATTCGGTTAACGAACGGACTCGTGGAACGGATTACGTTCGTTAACCGGGGTTCCACTGTAATTAGAGTTATATATAGATTACAAGCCATGTATTGCCACGAAAAACTTTAAAACTGCAAAGGATCACTGTGTTCCTAATCTTCACTGTACCCGTTTAATGATATTGAAATGTCAGACCTGTCTGTATAATCAAAGGTATTAAGAATGTATGTTTTATGGATCGTAGATCAAATCCGGCAATCTTCACAATAAATTTTTTCTGCTGTAAATTCCTATTAGGTTTGGTACTGTCCCATTCCATCCGCCTTCCCTATTGTGGATCCAGTAAACCCACAAATGAAATGTAAAAAAGGATTTTTTTCTGAAACAGAACAGAAAGTGCCGAAAATAGAAGAAGTAAGCTGAAGAAGATTTTAAAAATTGGCATCTTCAGGATAAGGAAAAAGGATGGCTGAATTTTTCTCAATTTAAGCCGTTCTAAGCTTATTTTCAAGAAAGGATGAAATTAGTGAAAATATTAAGGCATACTTATACAGAAAGCTTGCTCTGACTGTTCCACGGGAATAATCGGCTGATCTTGCGACAACAAGTACAGTTGTAACGACGTATTTTCCACTATCCAGAGACCATTGAAAGCCTCGCTACAGAACACTATTTCTTCTCGTATGTTTGCAAATAATTAGCAGAGGCAAATTTGCATGCATGGAGATCGCTAGGGTCTAGTGCGAGAAGCTTTGTTTGTAATGCTGTCGTGACAGAAGCATGGATTGATATAACCTCGCAACGTGTTGTCTCTAGCGATGAATCTCGGTTTATTTTTGGAATCGAGCAATCACCGTGTTAAAGTGTTGATCGTTGATAAGTGCTTTTACGCTTTAACTGTTGATGAGCGCGCTGCTCACTCTGCTGGTACGCAGGTCTGGAAAATCATCTCATAAGAACATTATTTACTAACAATAGCACAATACATTAATGGCACAAAGATATATTTAAGAAATATATCTTTGTGCCAACTGTGCCCTCATATGTTCCTCTTATAACAGAACAAGTCTTTTCCAGTAACAATGCTCGACCGTACACTGCTAAAGTTTCACAGGAATGTCTCAAATCATATATGTATGAATGCATTTCAACCAACAGAAAGTGGTAAATTGTAGCTTTGTTTCGCTGGAAATTGTCGCCATGCTACGATACTGTAATTATTTATTATCCTGTTCTTTACCTTCTCGCTAGTATTGTTTGATTTGCATTCAACTTTTGCTTCTCGTACAGGATTTCACCCAAAAGTGTCTGCTGTTAGACTAAATTACCGTGTATTATTCTAAACAGCATTGAAAAGAGAGACATTATTCTATCCCAGTTTTGATATACGTTAAATGACTGCACAGACACGTATAGGCGTATTGGAAGAATAGTTAAATTTTTTAGTCTATTCCCTTCCTTATCAGCATTTCAACTTTAAAATTAATTACATATGTGCTTATGAATATAGGGTTTTCAAAAAACTTACCTAACATTAAGAAAATAATTACGATGTTCAAGGTTGCATACTCCATTTTACAATAAATCAGTAGTCCGAATGCTGCAACAGTAGCTAAAAAAGGGGATGCGCAGCCAGAAACACCCAACCAAAACTTACTGCGGAGAGCATCTGTCGATAAGCAAGAAACTGCTGAGAATATCAGCATAATTGGAGCAATAATAATTATAAGAGATAAAACACTCTCGCCCATTCGGTTAATTTCGTTATTGACAGAGTGAGAAAACGCTTTATAAATTTTAATATGATTCATATTAATTTTTGATAATATTTCTGAAAGAGTTTCTTCCCATTTCAATGCTATTTTTTTCTTCTCTTCTGTTACATGGTCCAGTTGATAATAAAGTCTTAATGCCTTGGAATCTATCAGCATATTTTCGTCATCTACAGTGACACCTCCAAATTCAAAACCCGAGATTATCAGTTTACCTTCAATTTTATCAAATGGATATCTGCAAGTAAACAAAAGAAGTGTATTGTAGCATTACGTAAATATAAATTATATAAAATTTTATATTACTTAATTTATAGAAATCTATTATAGAAAGTTCAAAACATGTATTGATACAATGCAATACACTACACTAAAAATTAATGTGATCGGAATCGTTTTTAATATCACTGCAAGAATCGTTTGATGGGTATTCTTTCATTATTCTCTAGATATTTTTTTTATTATTTGTTAACTTTATCTGCAATCTCGTTGGTAAATGTTTTTTGGAGAAGTAAGTATTTCACAAGAGTATTGTAAAGGATTTCTTTGAACTGTAATGCATAACATCACACTGCATTAAAGTTTCTAATTATTTTGATGTTGAGGATATATCATCATTTTATGTAACGCACTTGCACAAATGTGTGCTCCTAATGGAATTCGTCTTGCATTTATTTAAGTACTGACTGTGCAAGTCACAATTGATAGTGAAAATGACATTGCAGAAATATACTTGTTACCTGGAATTGCTTCGTGGTTAAAAGGATACATATATGTTGCTTATAATTCTGGCATATGATAGTAGAATAGCTTTTTCCGTTTGTATTTAAGATTTTTAAAAATTCTTATTACTTTATAACACACGTTTCCATATCTATTACGTAAACATTTCGTTGGTTTATAGTGATAAAATATTTTCATAAATTTATTTATTGCCTTTAGGTTTTCATTTGAGCACTGTGTGAGCAATATGCTCAATTGGAAATTTAAAAGATGTATTTTATGAAAGAATAAACAAAGGAAATCAATTCTTCTTACGCCACGATCTCTACAACTTTCAAGAAAAACAATGAAAACATGCCCACCAAACATAATAAAATTTTACTCTGTACTTTTCCAAATGTATAGAGTACAGTCTTGTTATTTTCAACCAAAGTATAAATACGTTCTTGCTAATGCAGCCTGTGTGTTTGAAGCGATGCTGCTGTAATGCATTAATATCTGTATCAATTTATCCATCAGTATTAGATACGTTGATGATAGAACCACCGATTCGAAGATGGCATCTTCGGCATCTTCTGTATTATGTGCAACATTTTTGCTGTTTTTTAAAGTCATTCTACCATTCTATCACACAGAGTTGATCTTACTTCCATATCCATCATGGCTCTGGAAAGACCAGTAATAAGGGAAACAGAAGTTAGTTTGTCCTAGACTCATGAGACATACAGAAAAATCCGAAAAACTGAGATGGTTAACAATTAGATGACGCAGTAAAATAGGTAAATACACTTCTATTTGTTCCATTTACTCAAAGTAGGAAGAATATACGATGATTTCATAACACATCAGTGCTATGAAATCATCGTATATTTTTTTCCTACTTTGTAATCTGTATAATAATACAAAGTACTGTGTAATCTTTGTATGCATTCTTTTGTCTTTGTTGACTACATACTCATTCATAATAGAATCGCGGTTAATGGGGACTTTACAGATTTCTAATAGAAGCAATACAGTGAAAACAATAATTACTGTAATTGTTGCGTGAATCGCACAGAGTTGTAACCGTTGCACTATCATTGATGGGTATTCAAAACCATCAGTTCATTTACATTTTGAAAGTTCTGTAGGTCACAGTAGTAGTGCCAATATCTCAAACAGTTTAGTGTAAGCAATCAATCCTATACAAATTTTTTCTTTATAAAAATGACTCGTTAGCTGTCAATTTTATCTTTCCCACCTGATTCATATCTGTAAAAATATTAAAATTAAATAATTAAAAAACACCTAGTAAATTGTTGATTTTTCCTGGTTCCGAATTGCGAAAAACCTGATTGTTGCGAATCGAAAAAATATGTTAGTAATAAAACAACCTGATCATATATTCCCACAGCTTTGTGCTCATTAAAAAATGCCTACTAAACCCCCTAAATCAGATACGGAAGTAAACATTTCTCTTATTTTGACCCAAAGACACACCCGTACATTTGGTCTATGCTAAATGGAAATTCTAAATTCCAGTCACCATTAATTTTAGTTGAGAAAATTTCATTCTATACGTAAAGTAAACACTTACTTGATTTTGTACAGTCTGTTCTTGATATAATTTGTCTTTCCTTTCAAAGACAAAGCGTAATTTTCGTGGCAAGTGTTCTCATCCGTTCTACAACATAAATCTTCATAACGAACGAATGCGTTATTCCATAGAACACTGACATTTCGTATAATATCGTCCAGTTCGATGATTTCTTCAATTACTGTTTCTTCCAATATGGAAGTTTCATTTTTCGACGTTACCAAAACTATAGCCGCTTCGAATCTAGATATTCTGCTGTAATCGCATTGTGACATGTTTGCGGAAAACATTGATTCGATAGCTGCTCTATCTGCCTTGCTACTTGCATCGGATGGTACATAAAGATATTCTATGTCCTTCGAAGATGATATATTTAATAGTCCCGTTGCAAACACAATTGTAAACATGAACGGAATTACGATATATATTTGAGGATAACATCCTACGTTGTAACCAATGCGTGATAATGTGACAGAAATGAATCTTCTCAAAATTTCATGCTTCATTTCTCTAAAAAAAGAAATATGAGACCGTAGTAAATATACTTCGAGGCATATTTAAGTAGAATTTGTATTAGAAAGTAAAGGAATTGGAGCATTGAAAAAGACATATTAAATACGTCTGTCTATTATTAAAATAATCTGCGTAATTTTCAGTTAAACACGCTCTTTACTTTAAGTTTTATTAATTTTATTTTTAAAAGTTTAATTATTACTTTTATGTATTTGTTTGCATAAATTATTATTGATTGCAACACAGCTGCAAGTCAAATGACCCGATTTAGATTAGTTAGTGAGGTCAAAATAATGAAATTTCGTAATTTAAATGAATAAAATTCCCTATAGATCCTCGTAGTTACAGAAAATATTAAGATTAAATTTGAAGAATTAATTTCATATATTTGTGGCGTAGTAAACACTAAGTATTGTGTTTTATTCCAAAGACACATGGCAAATTTTCCATCAAATTCCTTTATTAGTTGATACGGTACATTGTTTTGTACTCGTTTCGGGCTTTGCCCCTCTTCAGTCAACTAAAATACAATATATATATTTAACTTATTACAGTAGAGAGTTTACATAAACAATGAGTACATAAACGATATATAGACGTACCTTTTGGTTACACTTTGTATAATTTAAAAACGTAAAATCTGCTTTAATCTTTGTAAAACTAGTATATGTTATAAATTAAAAGGTTAAAATATTCTAAAATCTTCTCTTATAGGCATATTTCGATAGAACAAAACTGTAAAAATTTTTTAGCTATTTCCTCCCCCTTTTTACCTTCCACCCCCTTTTTATTTTTTCTTATGCGATGGTATCTTAAGTGTTGCCATGTATGACGTTCGATAGAAAAAAAGGAAAAAAATGAAAAAAATATTATTATAAAAATATTATTTATAATATATTAATCCAGTTTTCGTTTATTTTAAGACTTAAGTTTTTATTTATACTGTCTTTACTTTTCATGATTTCTATGGTTTCTTTAAACTTCCTGTTGTACGTTAATTTTTCTTTATGCAGTATTTCTACGTTATCTTTATCTATATTACAGTTATATAAAATTTGCCATGTGTCTTTGGAATAAAACACAATACTAGTGTTTACTACGCCACAAATATAAAACAGGACACGGTTTCAAAAAGAAAATTCATATATTTGTATTCATATACAAAGAATAAAGTGTTAATAAAAAACATAATATTCCCGAAAAAGTTTTGTTAATTAATTAATTAATATTTTACATAGTAAAGATTATAATACATTTTCAAATTCTTAAATAACTTATAGTGTATCTTAGCTAACATGTGAAAGTAAATTAAACAAGAAAGCGATTTATTATTATTATTTTTAATTGTTTTAGTGTTAATTAAATGAAAAAGTAAAATAGTAATTAAATAAATATAACTAAAATCATTAGAGGTGTAGGTATATTTACTTACTCAGAGTCATTAATTTGTTCGACTTCAGAAAGCAATCGTCGGAGTTAAGATTGTGTGTCACTATATCAATACAGTTTGTAATAACTTCATTAAAAAAAAGCACTACGAAATAAAGAATCTCGTAAAGCGCAAAGTTCATATAATGAGATAAGAAATGTTAAAACATTTCAATGCCGTTTAAATAAATAATTATAATTCGTAAATTACGAACTTTATAAACAGAAACACTTTTATCCATTTTTTAATATTAATATAGGAATATATAATTAAATTTAAACATATGTAAGTCTTATTTAATATTATTAATTTAAGTATTTTGCAATTATTCATTCAGTTGCTAATTTTTATAGAAGCAAAAATTATAACACGTGTTTATTGAATGAACAGATTGATGGAATAAGTTTATACATGTGCATAGATGATAACATGTTTTCCATGTTTATATTTAATAAAAATTGTCGAAAAGTATAGTTTCTTCGTAACTAAGTGCTATTGTATTTAATATCTTATAGTAATATACAAATAAATCCGTGGCTAGGTAGAAAATAGATGAAAACATAAGTTTCCTACTATATGAAGTGTAGAGAAAAATTAAATTTTATGTATAAAGAGAGAGAGAGAGAGAGATGATTACGATTTTTCTGGTTCTCCTTTAGTTTCACTTCAAATGGTTCTATTTTACCGTTCTGAATAGAACTAGAAACTGCTAAACTAGCTTGCTCAATACTACGATCCTCCTGGAAAACATGCACGTTGTCATCCATAAAAACACAGTCGGCCTTATTTACGGAAATGGTGTCATTTGATCCATAAACCAGAAGATTTTTGTAGCAAAGATGGTACAGTAAAAAGTTCCTAGTGTAAAGATGATGGCCCGAATTTTCTTTCGTATACGCTAGATGCGCATTGAGATTCCTTCGGTATATACTGAAGGAATCTCAATGCGTATTTAGCTAGGTAAGTAAATAAACCGGAGCTCCGATATCCAGTATTGTGCTTAATAATATAATTTTACGATTAAAACACAATCCCTCCTAAAGTAATTACCCATTTTTAATTTTCCTCTGTAGAGGACAATGCCAAGATGTATTCAGCTCTTGACAACTACTAGAACATTTTATATTCGACAAAATAACTGTTTCAACGTTATACAAAGTAACGTATATTTAATCCGAAAGAAAATATATTGTAAAATATAACCATTAATATCCAGAATGAAATCGTTTAATAATTTAATAAGTTATTATATATTTTCATGTTGCACAACTCCTGATAAACTCCTTGCACACGAAAAATGTTTTCGTTTTCTGAACTACTTTCGTGATTTTATATACAAGTCGACCCCCCTATAACACTGTTGATTTTTCTGTTTTATATGAATTTCATGTTGTACGAGTCACTTAGATTTTACAAATACGTGTGCCGGGCTGTGAATGGCTCACGTATTTGTAAAATCTAAGTGACTCGTACAACATGAAATTCATATAANATTCCAGTCACCATTAATTTTAGTTGAGAAAATTTCATTCTATACGTAAAGTAAACACTTACTTGATTTTGTACAGTCTGTTCTTGATATAATTTGTCTTTCCTTTCAAAGACAAAGCGTAATTTTCGTGGCAAGTGTTCTCATCCGTTCTACAACATAAATCTTCATAACGAACGAATGCGTTATTCCATAGAACACTGACATTTCGTATAATATCGTCCAGTTCGATGATTTCTTCAATTACTGTTTCTTCCAATATGGAAGTTTCATTTTTCGACGTTACCAAAACTATAGCCGCTTCGAATCTAGATATTCTGCTTCGCTAGTATTGTTTGATTTGCATTCAACTTTTGCTTCTCGTACAGGATTTCACCCAAAAGTGTCTGCTGTTAGACTAAATTACCGTGTATTATTCTAAACAGCATTGAAAAGAGAGACATTATTCTATCCCAGTTTTGATATACGTTAAATGACTGCACAGACACGTATAGGCGTATTGGAAGAATAGTTAAATTTTTTAGTCTATTCCCTTCCTTATCAGCATTTCNTCGATGATTTCTTCAATTACTGTTTCTTCCAATATGGAAGTTTCATTTTTCGACGTTACCAAAACTATAGCCGCTTCGAATCTAGATATTCTGCTGTAATCGCATTGTGACATGTTTGCGGAAAACATTGATTCGATAGCTGCTCTATCTGCCTTGCTACTTGCATCGGATGGTACATAAAGATATTCTATGTCCTTCGAAGATGATATATTTAATAGTCCCGTTGCAAACACAATTGTAAACATGAACGGAATTACGATATATATTTGAGGATAACATCCTACGTTGTAACCAATGCGTGATAATGTGACAGAAATGAATCTTCTCAAAATTTCATGCTTCATTTCTCTAAAAAAAGAAATATGAGACCGTAGTAAATATACTTCGAGGCATATTTAAGTAGAATTTGTATTAGAAAGTAAAGGAATTGGAGCATTGAAAAAGACATATTAAATACGTCTGTCTATTATTAAAATAATCTGCGTAATTTTCAGTTAAACACGCTCTTTACTTTAAGTTTTATTAATTTTATTTTTAAAAGTTTAATTATTACTTTTATGTATTTGTTTGCATAAATTATTATTGATTGCAACACAGCTGCAAGTCAAATGACCCGATTTAGATTAGTTAGTGAGGTCAAGATAATGAAATTTCGTAATTTAAATGAATAAAATTCCCTATAGATCCTCGTAGTTACAGAAAATATTAAGATTAAATTTGAAGAATTAATTTCATATATTTGTGGCGTAGTAAACACTAAGTATTGTGTTTTATTCCAAAGACACATGGCAAATTTTCCATCAAATTCCTTTATTAGTTGATACGGGTACATTGTTTTGTACTCGTTTCGGGCTTTGCCCCTCTTCAGTCAACTAAAATACAATATCTAGATATTTTTTTTATTATTTGTTAACTTTATCTGCAATCTCGTTGGTAAATGTTTTTTGGAGAAGTAAGTATTTCACAAGAGTATTGTAAAGGATTTCTTTGAACTGTAATGCATAACATCACACTGCATTAAAGTTTCTAATTATTTTGATGTTGAGGATATATCATCATTTTATGTAACGCACTTGCACAAATGTGTGCTCCTAATGGAATTCGTCTTGCATTTATTTAAGTACTGACTGTGCAAGTCACAATTGATAGTGAAAATGACACTGCAGAAATATACTTGTTACCTGGAATTGCTTCGTGGTTAAAAGGATACATATATGTTGCTTATAATTCTGGCATATGATAGTAGAATAGCTTTTTCCGTTTGTATTTAAGATTTTTAAAAATTCTTATTACTTTATAACACACGTTTCCATATCTATTACGTAAACATTTCGTTGGTTTATAGTGATAAAATATTTTCATAAATTTATTTATTGCCTTTAGGTTTTCATTTGAGCACTGTGTGAGCAATATGCTCAATTGGAAATTTAAAAGATGTATTTTATGAAAGAATAAACAAAGGAAATCAATTCTTCTTACGCCACGATCTCTACAACTTTCAAGAAAAACAATGAAAACATGCCCACCAAACATAATAAAATTTTACTCTGTACTTTTCCAAATGTATAGAGTACAGTCTTGTTATTTTCAACCAAAGTATAAATACGTTCTTGCTAATGCAGCCTGAGTGTTTGAAGCGATGCTGCTGTAATGCATTAATATCTGTATCAATTTATCCATCAGTATTAGATACGTTGATGATAGAACCACCGATTCGAAGATGGCATCTTCGGCATCTTCTGTATTATGTGCAACATTTTTGCTGTTTTTTAAAGTCATTCTACCATTCTATCACACAGAGTTGATCTTACTTCCATATCCATCATGGCTCTGGAAAGACCAGTAATAAGGGAAACAGAAGTTAGTTTGTCCTAGACTCATGAGACATACAGAAAAATCCGAAAAACTGAGATGGTTAACAATTAGATGACGCAGTAAAATAGGTAAATACACTTCTATTTGTTCCATTTACTCAAAGTAGGAAGAATATACGATGATTTCATAACACATCAGTGCTATGAAATCATCGTATATTTTTTTCCTACTTTGTAATCTGTATAATAATACAAAGTACTGTGTAATCTTTGTATGCATTCTTTTGTCTTTGTTGACTACATACTCATTCATAATAGAATCGCGGTTAATGGGGACTTTACAGATTTCTAATAGAAGCAATACAGTGAAAACAATAATTACTGTAATTGTTGCGTGAATCGCACAGAGTTGTAACCGTTGCACTATCATTGATGGGTATTCAAAACCATCAGTTCATTTACATTTTGAAAGTTCTGTAGGTCACAGTAGTAGTGCCAATATCTCAAACAGTTTAGTGTAAGCAATCAATCCTATACAAATTTTTTCTTTATAAAAATGACTCGTTAGCTGTCAATTTTATCTTTCCCACCTGATTCATATCTGTAAAAATATTAAAATTAAATAATTAAAAAACACCTAGTAAATTGTTGATTTTTCCTGGTTCCGAATTGCGAAAAACCTGATTGTTGCGAATCGAAAAAATATGTTAGTAATAAAACAACCTGATCATATATTCCCACAGCTTTGTGCTCATTAAAAAATGCCTACTAAACCCCCTAAATCAGATACGGAAGTAAACATTTCTCTTATTTTGACCCAAAGACACACCCGTACATTTGGTCTATGCTAAATGGAAATTCTAAATTCCAGTCACCATTAATTTTAGTTGAGAAAATTTCATTCTATACGTAAAGTAAACACTTACTTGATTTTGTACAGTCTGTTCTTGATATAATTTGTCTTTCCTTTCAAAGACAAAGCGTAATTTTCGTGGCAAGTGTTCTCATCCGTTCTACAACATAAATCTTCATAACGAACGAATGCGTTATTCCATAGAACACTGACATTTCGTATAATATCGTCCAGTTCGATGATTTCTTCAATTACTGTTTCTTCCAATATGGAAGTTTCATTTTTCGACGTTACCAAAACTATAGCCGCTTCGAATCTAGATATTCTGCTGTAATCGCATTGTGACATGTTTGCGGAAAACATTGATTCGATAGCTGCTCTATCTGCCTTGCTACTTGCATCGGATGGTACATAAAGATATTCTATGTCCTTCGAANTTCATGTTGTACGAGTCACTTAGATTTTACAAATACGTGTGCCGGGCTGTGAATGGCTCACGTATTTGTAAAATCTAAGTGACTCGTACAACATGAAATTCATATAAAACGGATAAATCAACAATGTTATAGGGGGTCGACTGTACAGTTAAAACTATACAGACTAGATTTGGCTGGCAATCCACATCAATCTAAACCCACCCAAATAAACACTGAATTTCCATAATATCTTCAGAAATTTATACTTAAATAATGTTTATTCTAGAGCCTGAAGCATTTAGTAACTCAAATCGTATACTGACATACTCTTTAGATTACATTTGGAGCATTTCTATTTGGCTTTATGGAAACAAGTCATTCCTTAGCAAAATTGTGCGCCCATAAATGCCCGAGTCGGTAAAACTATCGAACTAGTAGTTCGTCGTGGGTTCACGCTCGGCCAACGGACTAAACAAGTGAGGTTTTCCTAGTTTTCTTAATGTTTATAACATCTGAATAGGGACAATTTTTCCATAAAACCACAAAAGCTTTAATGGGAGGCATCTCCTCTCAGATCGCTCACGTGTAACCGAACTTAACCTTAACAAAGTCGAACTTTTTATGGGTAAATTATAATATATATATATAAAACAGTGAGTGGAATTGATTTAAAATTTTCTATTCTTTTATAAAACTTAAGCATTAAACTTTTTAAGTATTTATTTCTACAATATCAGATACTGAGAATATACAAAAACAGATCGTTGTATTACATGACGAGTATGTAACTACACTATTTCGTGGACTACACGAATATTTTATACAAATGACGTGTTAAAAAAAGACTCAAAAATTACATGACAGAAAATTTCACTAATATCTTTTAGATTTCAAGTATATAAATCGATTCAATCCAGTTAATATGAAATAATTTCTCAACCTTGTTGTCCTTGAATAATGCATTGAGAATTTAAAACATCAAGTTCGTTCGTATAATTATCATTGCATTCCAAATCTGGTCTTTTCTTTTTGAAAAACGGAAAGGAAATATTATCCAAAATGCTTAAAATTACAGGCAGTAAAATCAAACTGTGAAATGAAGCGAAAATTACCATTAAAGATATAATTTTAAAAAATATCACAAATGATTCGGATGGTCCAAAATATGCTACCGAAACGCCCAAAATAGTAGATAAACATCCTTGCAAAACAGGATATCCAGCGGTATATAAACAACTTCTGATTTTCTCGTTTGGTGTTTTCTTTTTGCAATTGATAAACGCGTAAGACGTATGGACTGTATAATCTACACAAAATCCCGTACACATCACTAAAGTTATTAATGTGCCAGTATTTACATTCACATACCAATAGGACATGTATCCAATCAACCCGACCTGAATAGAAGCAATAGTGATGGCAACGGACGAAAGAAACAATACGTTTGGAGTAAACAGAAGAAAAACTGAAATCACTACCACAGCTGCAGAACACACAGCTTTTATACAGTTTGAAAGAATATTACTATAGAGTTCATAATACATAAATCTAAAATTATATACAACTACGGGAAATTTGCTGTTATCGGCAATTTTTCTTACGTTCCTGAAGAAAGTTTTTGTCTCGTCTCCAGTTTTGTCATCGTAACTGGATATGAGAAATCTCGAAGCAGTAATTTTATCAGCTTCATTGTTAAAGACGACATCGCTTTTAAATCTGTTTGATATTTTTAGTTTCAAGAAAACATTTTTAAATGCACTCAGAAAGTCCTCAGAATCACTCAGATTATAACCAGAAAGTGAAAACTTTGCAAATGGAGATTTAGTAAACGCCAGAAATCCTCTCAGCCAACTTTCTGTGGTCGACGAATCAGACATAAAAGGTGCAGATTCGAAACTTTGCAGAAGATCTTCTATGTCATTTTGAACGGTGACATTTGAATAGTCTAATTTCTGGTTAATGACTATTTGCACTTGATGACTATAATTAGAGAAATATTTATGTTCAGTTGTCAAGTAGTCAAACGCATAAGACATGTAGGGAAAGAATTCGATTACGTCGTTTCCTTCTTGCACAAATCGTGTACAGTATATTGCACCTGTAAGGTAAATTATGAAGACTAATATCACAATTATTTTAATGATTGATTTTCCAAGTATTCCACCTAAAACATTGCCGAAAAACGTCATTAGAACGTTTTCTTTTTTCTTGTTTGTTGATTTTAAATGTATTCCGTTTTCGATTTTGCGATTATTTTCTTTAACTGGCCAACAAAGGAATGAGTGCAGATTATGTTTTTCTCTGTATCCATCTAAAGCCATGAGTCCTCCAAAAAATAATAACTGATAAACATAGTCAAACACGATTGCTAGAGCAGAATACGCGCTGAATATATGAATACATTTGTATGGTGTCACAAATCCCATACAAAATGCAAAAAGATTGGTCAGTGACGTAATGGTGATGGACACTGCAGCTTCGGCATATGCTTCTTTCATTCTATTAGGTACAGAAGCCTTTATGTCAGTTCGTCTCCACGCAGCTACCAATATGAAGGAATCGTCTACTCCTATACCTGAAATATATAATTAATGATACAGTTAATGATTTCATAAAACAATAATAATAACAATAATCGTATTCTCTATATGCTTGTAATAACAGAATGTATTTAGGAACTCATTTAAAAATTTATGTTTTATTTTTTAATTAGTTTACAAACAAGACTATACTATAATGAATCTTTCTATCTCCTTTACACACCTCAGGGAATAACAGCTACGGCGGAGTCGACTTTTATTTACAGGTTAGTCGTCCGCAAAATATACAGAACGTTATTTTTTAAAATAATTCTTCCTGGTAACGTGGCACAAAAACTATCTTTCTGACAATTTTTATTAGATGCATTATAATTAGTTGCCAATGCTTTAATCAAATGAAATTAAATTACACGTAAACTATTCTAATTATTTTAATAATTCAACTGAACAAAATATTCGAAATCGTTTACCTCTATGCGACTTTAAATTTTAACAAGGATCATATTACACACGGCAAATAATATTTGATAATTTTAATTTATTTTTAATATATAAAGCTTGCTAATAAGTTTCTGATTTCTCTACTTCATCTCAGTTTAACTAGTTCACTTTCTCTACTTTATTTATAGATTATATTAACATGCTATAACAATTTAATAGTCATATTACTGTTTGTTTCTGAGCATTGATTACATCTCTGAATTGATTATCGCTTATAGATAGGATACAAGATGCATTTCTCTATGACTATATAATTTTTCTGTATAGCATTTCCATCCGCATGCAGTCGTTCAAAGTTTGGCATCACAAATTGGATACCAATATGCCAAACTTTGCAATAACAGAAATCTAAATTGCAACACTAATTACATTCTATTGTCTTCGGCATTTTAGAACCAACATAAATTATAAATTATTATTCCTACATAAAATTTTTTTAATAGGACTTACCTAGCATTAGAAAAATAATTATGAGGTTTAATGCAAAGTAATCTACTTTGCAGTAAATTAGTAAACCAAATGCTGCAACAGTTGCTAAGAAAGGTGATGCACAACCAGCAACTCCTAACCAAGGCTTACTACTTAGAGCATCAGTGGATAAAGAAGAAACTGCCGAAAATGTCAGCATAATTGGAGCAATAACATATGTAAGAAACAAAACACTTTCGCCTATTCGATCAATTTCGTTATTGGCCGAGTGCGTAAGGAATTTATAAATATCAATATGATTCATGTTAATTTTTGACAATATTTCTAGAAGTAATTCTTCCCATTTCAGCGATATTGATCTCTTCTCTTCTGTAGCATGGTCCATTGGATAATACAATCTCATTGCCATCGAATCCCTAATAATATTTTCCTCATCTACTGCGACTCCTCCAAATTCAAAACCGGAGATTATTAGTTTTCCTTCAATTTTATCAACTGGGTATCTGCAAATAAACATAACAAGTTTATTGGTACAAAAATATAAATCATAACGATTATAAACTACTCAATTTATAAGCATGTGTCGTTGAAAATTGAAAATACACATTTTCATTGAATTTATGTTGGAAATTTGTTTTGGTTTGGTGTGATACAACAACTGAAAACACGGTCAATAATGCCAAGGATGAGTTCCTCCATGAGGACATTATATAAGAAAATGGACTCGTAAACCGGAAAATTTCACGTGGCCAATCTGTTTGCCATGAGCAAACTCACATCCTATTACCGATGTTCAGCAGTTTTACGCACTCGGCCAGTAGTAACTAGTTGAGCACTCCAGTTGAAACTAGGAAGAAAAAATGTTTCAAATATAGCGTCTAATTTTTCTTATTTTGACTCAAATAATTTCGGTATATACTAAACCTGTTGTTTATTTGTTAATATAACTGGTGTGAAGACCACAATTTTCCCCACCAAAAATTGTTGTTACTATATATATATACTAGCTGCAAGGACCCGCTTCGCTGGGTTTTTATTTGTATGTAATATAGTTATATATATATATATATAAAAGACTGTTTTTCTAAGTAATCTAGAATCTAGCTGCAAGGACCCGCTTCGCTGGGCAAAAAGTAACGATAGTGAAGATTAAGATAATTACATTATAGCTAATCTTACCCGTTTTCACAGAATGCAAGAATTAGGTCCCCCGTTTCCAGACTAATTAGAGAATTTTTACGTTTAGTCAAACGAACTATTTTCAACGTTTCTGGAACGTTTACAATCGTTCTATAATCGAACCAATATTCGAATTTTATGTTCGAATTTAATTCGAACAAATTCGAACAAAACATTCGAAACAGAAAGCCACTTTCAACCACTTTCAGCCTCATATCTCCCGCACCCTTATAGCTATCGAGACGCAACCACCCCTATGCACGAATGGAGACTTGGGGCTACTGCCACATACAAACACCATTCACGTGTGATGTGTAGTTTTTGCGGAAAAGTGAAATATAGGCACACACACGTCCATTTATATATATATAGATATATATGTATGTATTTATGAATTTGTTATTTACGTATTTACGTTATCTGTATAATATTAGTTTAGCCACTTTGTTTTCACTTTAACTAATTAGTTAGAGATTTTATTGTATTTAAACTTTGTGTTTATTTTATATCCTTTATCTTTTGAACCCACATCTTAAAGATACCGAGATTGTTTATACATGGATCAAAGTGTAAGAGGAAATTTTCCTACTTTTCCGATTCTAGGGACTTCCCTATAGAAATTTCCAATAACATCAACTTTTAGAATGATTTAGAGAAACAATTTAGAATAAGAAGTTTATTAGTTAACGGCAATAAATCTCACAACATGCGAGGAAAAGGATAAAAGGACAATTAAATAATTAAATAAATTTGTAAAAGAATAAAACTTAAAGAAAGTGGGAAAAACACCACTTCCTGCTCCGGCGATCGAACATTGTTTCAAGACACAACAATAACGAAAACAATAGATGAATAATGATGGGATTTGTCAGTGATGACATCCGTGAAATTCGGCGCTATCACTATATGAAGTCAGAGAGAGTTAAAACAGTTTTGCTACTGTAATGACTCAGCTCAATACTATAGTAAACCATGTGATAACTCTCCTGCGCTGAAAAGCGTACAAAAGAGGCACAAATCCAGGCACCGACAGAGCTCCTCGGCAGACAACGGTAGAAAGCACCGGCCTCTCCAGACTCTCAACGAACCATCCCATACAAGGAAGGCATCAACGGTAGACATCAACAGTAGACACAAGTGAACCCATCCAGCCATAATCGCAAGGAAATTTCGTCTAAAAGCGAACGCCATTTACCGGCGGACATCAGAGAAGAACCAAGCAAAAAGGAAGAAGAAATTAGACCAGAAGACTGACTGGATTCACAAGAGAATACGGTTCTCTTTTTCCTGGTATGTTGTAGTTCGGATACTCCCCTGTTATTCAGCCCCCTCGTTTTATAGATAGAAATAGGCAGATTTCCTGAATCGGATTTTAACAATGCTATCCAGAACTTAATTTTTGATAATAAACTTTTGTTATTTGTATTTGACTTTGCATTCATCCTCCTGAGAGACTCATTCCCGGATTTCGGAGTGACTCTTACTCTCGCGCCTTAACTATCTGGTTATGTCAAAATCGGCGGTGTGTCCGACAAACAACACCTGGTGGCAGGACCCTACCCTAATCTAAAGTAAACTAACTTTTGACGGCCCCTGGTCCCCACACTGGATAGCCTGAGCAAGCAAGAACAAAAACGGATAAAAGTTATTTATACTACGAGATATGTACACAGAGAATGAATATATAAAAGTATAAGGACTCAAAAAGATCATGGGTAGCGCGATAGTCCGGATATTGTCATCATCTTAACTCTTTCTGTCTCCTGCGCAATAGGCACTTGTCTGCCACACACTAAACACCAAAATCTTGACTTTTGAAATTGTATTGTAAATAGTGAATAATACGATTTCAAAATTAATGTATTGATAAAAATAAGCAATACACTAGATTTCAGCTACTCGGAATTACAAAAGTGGTCCGAGTTTCCTAGACGATATGGAAAACAAGAAATGGATATTCAGCTCTACACAGAAGTTTCACATGTTATGAAATTATGATTATTACAGAAAATGAGCTCAAAATTTTAATGACAGTACGTCATTTAATGTGTAGCAATGTACACTACTTGTACACAGTCTTCAGTAATTTACCGACTATAGTAATATAATGGAGGTGTGAGAACCCAGGCTAGTGTTTTTGTGAAATTATAAAATCATAATTGTTTGGTATTTAATATTTGTTAAAAAGTTCAACTGATGCAGAAATTGCGAATTTAAACAGGGAAAGATCATGAGATTTATGTCTGATGACGCTTCCTTTCCAAGTGGCACATCTTCCTGGGACGACTGCTGAGTTCCCCGCCGTAGTTGCTGACCTACTCTCCCGAGAAGTCGCAGAATGTTCCTTTCCTCCTAATCATGATCTACTTCCTTGTTGTTTGTGAGCCAAAAGATTAGGTTTATATTCAGGACTTTTTAAATAAGGATTGTGGACATATTGTGAGGAAATACAGTGGAAGAACACTATCGAAGGAACATCAAGACACCCTTAAGAAGCTAAATCAAAGGTGTTTATTCCTTACGTGTTTCAATTCTAAATTCTCTTATGTTCAATAAAGTCTTATGCCATAGAATATGCATAAAAATTATATTCTATGCTCAGGGGCAAATCTAGATTTTCGGGGCCTAGGGCTTATCGCAGTCGAATGCAACCCCATTTTTTGTTAGATTAAGAATCTTTAAATTGAGGTTTAAAATTCGTTCTTAATAAAATGAAATTCAGAGTTGAAGTATAATAACTTATGAAATGGTGTTGTGAAATGACAAACTTTATATCTTATATAAAAAACATAAGAAATGAAAAAATATTTATATTGATTAATAACTGGCCTGTTACATTGATTACAATAAAATAAATAATACTATGGATTTTTATATTATTAATATTAACTATACGATAAGTGCTCATTGATACTGAAAAAGTATTCATTTTTTGTAGGCTCTTGACACTTGGGGCCCAAAACTTAAGCCCTGTTAGTCCCTATGTATATATGTCCCTGTCTATGTTAGATGTAGTTTTCTGCCACATTTTTGTAGTGTGCATCGATAATCACATGTTCCAATAAGCCTTTATTATCTCAATATTAAGTAGGTAATAGACTGAAATACTTCTTGGTTATTGTCTCTTAACTTCCTCCTCCGTTCGCTTACTGGGTCCCACACTCGATCGATTGCGCACGCAAAAGTTTCCTGTGTATCCCGTATAAAAATACAGATGGTGTCAGAGCATCCTGAGTCGGAAGCGATGTTCAGAGAGGATAAATTAAAAACACTCACTATTTATAATTTTCCCACCGTCAAGAAATTTTAAATTGCCATTCCACAACACTTTGAGATGGCGGAATATACATATCTATACTAATATAACAATAAATAAGTTTATAGTCTACTTCTAAAACAACGTTGTAATATTAGATTCAGTTATCATTCGAGTTTAACGGAAATTAACTAAAGACTTACTTGATTCTGTATATTCCTTTCTTGACGTCATTTGTCTTTCCTTTTAAAGACAAAGCGTAGTTTTCGTGGCAAGTGTTCCCATCTGACTTACAACATAAATCTTCGTAACGAACGAATGCGTTATTCCATAGAACACTGATATTTCGTATAATTTCATCCAGTTTGATGACCTCTTCAATTATTGATTCTTCTAGTATAGAAGTTTTATTTTTTGACGTTACCAAAACTATAGTTCCTTCCAATCTAGATATTCTTCTGTAATCGCATTGTGACGTGTTCTTGGGAAACATTGATTCGATAGCTGCTCTGTCTGCTTTGCCTCTTGCATCGGATGGTACATAAAGATAGTCTATGTCCTTCGTAGGTGATACATGTATTATTCCTGTAGCTAACACGAGTGAAAATATGAGGAAAATTGCCACATATATTTGAGGGTAACATCCTACGTTGTAACCAATGCGAGATAATGCAACAGAAACGATTCTTCTTACAAAATCATGCTTCATTTCTCTATAAAAAGTAAATTAATTCGTGATAAACTCTTTAACAAATTTAATATAATAAAATGGAATTCATCTTTGTGACTCACTGACATGAGATGTTTAAATAAAAGTAAAATGTTTATTAAAAAGCCAACTGGTGTATCAGAAAAATATTATGTTATCAAGAAAGAGCAAAGTCTCCGAAAGTAAAATATTAATATTTAATAAGCCACATTCGACCTTCGTGGCCTTAAAAACATTCCGAAATGTGGATTTACTAAATTAATTTATCCATCTTTTGTGCCTGAAGTAACGTTGATAGTAATTAAAATGTTCTGAACTATTTTAAATTAAAATATGGTACTTGATTTAACTAGCATCAATTTGTTTACTTTGAAATCTTACTTGCTTTTATTTACTCTCTATGTATACAGTGAAAGGCTAAGTTGAAAGGCCATGCTTAAATCAGTTAAAAAGGTCAAGAGAACAGAGAAAGGGAGGCATCTTTAATTATAGAATATTTTAAAAATTTAAACAGAATTTATCTGAAAACGAAAGTTCTGCTTTTAAGCAAAACTTAATTAAGTATGGAATCTAATATTTTAAAAATAACTTCAATCATAACTGAATAAAAAATAAAATAAATAGAAGAAAATCGGTGTAGGTATACTCACTTACCTATATGAGAAATGAATATGTCTGTGTTAAAATATTTAGCGTTGTATCCTTATTATGCCTGTAGGTACAACTAAAATATATCAAGAGATAAAAAAATCTCTTTCAAAGCACAAAGTACAAATACTAAGATAAAAGCGTAAAAACATCAGCGTGTTTTACAAATAAACATATTATAAGAACGCCTTTTAAACACTTAAAATTAATTTATAGAAAAATATAATTTAGTGCGAATCTGAGTAACAATATCATTAATTCCACTTGGAATTCCTATACATGAAAATTGATAAAACATGTTTATCAGAATAAACGTAATCCATTACACGTGCCAATCAATTTATACACATGTAAGATGATAACGTGTTTTCTATATAAATATTTAAGGAAAAGTTTTAGTTTATTCCCTACAAACTGCTATTTTTATCGGAGGTTTTATTACAATAAAATTCTACGAATTTATTCATGGTTATTATAAAACCTCCAATTTATTTTAATAGGATATAATAGAGCAGAGTGCTGAATGTTTCTGTGTCTGTCCTTCATTCCTCTTAGTATTTTACATTGTTAGAATAAGAAATTGGTTTTAAAAAATTTGGCATTTTGTAAACAGACTTTTCAGTAATTTTCTCAAATCCGACTGATTGCAGGAAAAATTGTAGTAAATATTGTAATAATGTATGAAAATATTGTAATTATTAACACTTGTACGTAACTATGTTGTGATATTATGTCATTTACGTAGCTTAAATATTGCAAATTGTACCCGTATATATGTAATCTGAAATTATCATAAACAAATGATAATAAACCAAACCCGAGTTTTGTACAGATTTCCTGTTTTGCAGAATCTCGTAGATGCCATAACAGATACTAAAATTTTAATGTAAAATCTCACACATTACACTATCACTAATGATAATAATACTAATAAATAGAAGTAAAACGTACTAAATATAGAGTAAAATTTGCAGCTACTGTATTATTTATTTTAGGAGGTGATAAAACGTAGAAGAGATTAAACCGAAGAAAATTTTTCTTTTAGCCAGACAATTGATTAGTTTCCAGACGAAACTCTTAAGTGGTAAAGACCAGAGTCGTGCCGAACATCTATCAAATGCTTTCAGGAAAAGACATTTGAATTCAAATAACATTACTTCATCTTTGCCTAGAACGTTCACGTATAGTTAATCCGGACTTACTCCGAAGATTTTCAGATCTGGTCTCATCTTTCATTTATCTAACTCCGTTGTTGAGATTAAGGAAAGACAAACAGACAAAGGTATGACAGTGAAAATTTATAGGTCTACAATTACTTTACAATAAAAAAAATAACTTTCTCTAGTAGACAATACATGCATAATGTGTCTTTAGACAATCGGTCCTTTCTCACGCAGATGAGGAATAAGACAATTCCACGCTAGAGGAATTATGTTATGTCTCAATTGCCACCGCTACAGGGAAATGTTGGACTATTTTACATTTGGAGGAGGATGAGAAACCTCAAATAAAAGGTCGACTCTGCCGTGAAATTGTCTTAACCCTCATCTGCATGAGAAAGGACCGATTGTATAAAGACACGTTCTGTATGTATTGTCTACTAGAGAAAGTTATTTTCTTTATTGTAAATTAAATCGTCCTGGCTTAATTAAAAAAAACTACGATTCTTTTCAAACTGCGGCTCAACCAATATACAAATAATAAAGCGTAGGAGAGATGAATCCTGTTTACTAATTTAAGTATAATTTCAACAATCGAAATAAAACACTGCATCAAACTGTTAAAAATTTACCTCACCAGTATCACGTAAACACAACAGATTGGCGAGCAAATAATCACATCTCGTAGAAAATATGTGGCGGAAATTAAACAAGTTGGTCCTGCAGCATATTGTAAATCAAATTTTTTGACTTCTATTGAAAAAGTTGGACGATATCGGTGACGAATTTTGTTTTTTATTAGTGAAATCCACGCCTGAAAGATCTAACACTGTCATAAAAGCTGAGGATGGAGCAACAGAGTATTAATTAAATTATTTAAGTTGATTGATTTCATTACTTTTTCCCAGTTTTACATGATTCCAAAATGCTTTTACTTGTAAAATTTAAAAAGTTGTGTTTAATTAATGGTGTTATGCAACTTATAAAGTTTTTACATATTTCTATCAATGTGGATAATTGTGTGTTTTGTGTTAGTCATTTATCAATAGATATAATACCGTTGTTTTTAAACCTGATTATAATCAAATGTGGAGACTTTGGACAATCGCGGATGCTTTCTCGTGGCAATCATAAACAGCTTTATAGTGTCTGGAATTGTAATAGAGTGTAAATATGTATAATGTTTACTTTATTCTATATTTATATTGTTTTTATAATGCACTGCAAGTTTATATTGCTATAGCCAGGAATAGATCCTGAGAATGGCAATGTAAAATTTTAATGATTTAACATTGGAGATCTTTATTTATTTATTATTTTCTTTTTCTACTTTATCGGCTGTTATATATGCATAACAAAGAATATTATTGGAATCGTGTCAAATTTGATGCTCCGAGTTTTTTCAAAGCTTCATGTTATGAGAATCATTGAACAAAATAAAATAATAAATAAAAATAAATCCGTGGATATGTATATATGTATGTATATGTGTGTATGTGTCTATGTGTATTGGCATCTATATCAATTGATATCTCAAAATAGGATGAAGATTAAGAAATGCAAAATGACAAGGAAATTTGAATATAAGGGCATTGATGCTTTTAGTAGTTAGTGGCCGAGAGTGGTGAAAGATAATATCATTACTAACCGAAGTAAAAATATGTACTAAATGAACATATTTATGTAGTTTTGTCCGAGTTATGCGGTTCGTAGCAGGATTTCTTTACTTTGTAAAAATTTCTGTATACTCATTACATACATTAGCTTTATGCAATTTTAAAATACAGCGTACATGAAAATTAAATGTTTCTATTGTAAATTAAGTTACTTTTTCTGAAAATTAAATATAAACGAAAGTTCTAAATATTATTTCTCTTACAATATGAAGTTCTAAAAATGTACAGAGTCTAATTTCTGTGTTTGAGATGTACTGAAATACATTTGTAAACTGCATACACAAACAGCATGAAAGTAAAAACAAAATTTTAAAAATTACTTCTCAAAAAAGTTATTTTAATATACTTAAGATTTACATTTTGTAAAATGGTTTAGTCCTATTAATTTGAAATTATTTTTCAAACTTCATGTCCTTGAAGATTTATGTTTTGAGATTTTAAGAAATCGAGTTCGTTTGTATGATTGTCATTGCATTCCAACTTATGTCTTTTCTTTTTCAGGAAGGAAAACGAAATGCTATCCAAAATGCTAAGAACCACAGGCAGTAATATCAGACTGTGAAATAAAGCGAAGATCGCCATTAACATCAAAATTTTCGAAAATATAAGAAATGGTTCTGATGGACCAAAATATGCTATTGAAACACCCAGAATAGTTGATATACAACCTTGTAAAACAGGATATCCAGAAGCGTATAAAGAACTTTTGATTTTCTCGTTTGGTGTTTTGTTTTTGCAATTGATAAATATATAGGACATATGAACTGTATAATCTACACAAAAACCCGTACACATCACTAACGTTATTAACGCTGTAGTTTCAATACTTACATTCCATAAGGACATATATCCAATCAAACCAACCTGGATTGAAACGACAGTGATGGTAATAGACAAAAGAAACAATATGTTCGGGGTAAATATAATAAACACTATAATCACTGTTCCTCCTGCAGAACAGATAGCTTTTAAACAGTTTGAGAGAATGTTAGAATAGAGTTCATAATACATAAATCTGAAATTGAATATTATAGTGGAAAATTTACTGTTTTCGCCGATTTTTCTTACGTTCCGAAAGAAAGTTTTTTTATCGTCTCCAGTTTTATCATCGTAACTGGATATGAGAAATCTCGAAGCAGTAATTTTATCACCTTCTTTATTAAAAACAACGTCATTTCTAAATCTTGTTGCTATTTTCATTTTTAAGAAAACGTTTCTAAATGCATTCAGAAAGTCTTCGGAATCACTCAGATTGTAACCAGAAAGAGAAAACTCTGCAACTGGAGATTTAGTAAATGCCAGAAATTCTCTCAGCCAACTTTCTGTGGTCGACGAATCGGATGTAAATGGAGCAGACTCGAAACTTTGCAAAAACTCTTCTATATCATTTTGGACAGTGACGTTTGAGTAGTCTAATGTCTGATTAACAACTACTTGCACTTGATGAGTGTAATTATGAAAGAATTTATCTTCAATACTTATATATTCAAACACGTAAGAGAAGTATGGAAAAAATTTAACTACGTCGCTTCCTTCTTGAATGAATCGCATACAGTATATCGCACCAGCGAGATAAACAAAGAAGGCTAAAATCACAATTATTTTTATGATTGGTTTTCCAAGTATTCCACCTAAGACATTTCCGAAAAATGCCATAAAGATATTGTCTTTTTTTTTCTTGTTTGTTGATTTTAAATATACTCCGTTTTCATTATTTGGATAATTCTGTTTAACTGGCCAGCAGAAGATAGAATGAAGCTTATGCTTTTCTCTGTATCCATCTAAAGCCATGAGTCCACCGAAAAATAACAACTGATAAATATAATCAAATATAATTGCTAGAGCTGAATACGCACTGAATATATGAATACAATTGTACGGTGTCATAAATCCCATACAAAAAGCAAAAAAATTGGTCAGTGACGTGATAGTGATGGACACTGCAGCTTCGGCGTATGCTTCTTTCATTCTATCAGGTACAGAAGCCTTCACGTCAGTTCGTCTCCACGCAGCCAGCAATATAAAGGAATCGTCTACTCCAATACCTAAAATATATTATTAATGTTAAATTGAATAATTTAATATATATGAATATTATAAAATTGTTTTGTTTAAAAACTCTTATTAAAAATTTCATAATATTTCGGGATGTATTTGGAAGTTACAACAATTCGCTTCCCTTTTCACCCTAATATGACAGACGCAACGTATTTTACTTATCTTATTTCCTTACATTTTGTTGACAGTCATACGTTAGAATTACATTTTGTTAATAAAATAATAACAGTTTAATTAGAAAACTTTATTCTAATTCGAAAATTATGTCCTAAATAGTTAAGCAAGAAAGTAATCTTAAAGAAGAATGTAATGCAATTATTTAATTTATATTATAATCATTTTGTTTAAACAAAATAATTTGTATTAAATTTAAATAACACGATATCGATGATTTATGAATTTTCAGAGTTTAATTCTATTGACCCCTTCCATTTTTAGCAACATTTTAGTTTCTGCTTTTACATGTAAACTAGTTTAAATATTTTAATGCAGCGCATTGAAGCATTCGTGCTTTATTTATCTCTATGACACTTTTTAATTTTAAATAATGTTTAAGAATATACATAACGATTATACAAGTGTGTTTGATCAATCATTAATATAAATGTGAAAAATTAGAATAAAAGTGGTATGTTTTCACATTTTAAACTCATTTATTTAAATATCCTCGCCATCAATACTTCATTTGTCTACTTCTTTTGTGTTCTTAATATTAATATCATTATTAACGCAATATGTAACTTATCCAGTTATGCTACTGTATGCTTTCGAACAGTGTTTGTCTAGCACCCTGTCAGTTTTCCTTACATTCTTTGTATAAGAATGTACTTGTTTGAGATGTACGAATGATAGGAAGCGTAACGGGTCTTAGAAAGAACTGGAGCATACACTCATGCCAATACACCATTCATTGTAAAATCGAACAATAAACCCTATTGGTTCCTCATCTGAATTTTAAATTAAAAATTTATATATAATGTTTTTTTTTTAATGTAAAATTTTCTTAAAACTTACCTAGCATCAGAAAAAGAATTATGGCGTTCAATGCAAAGTAATTTACTTTGCAGTATGTCAGTAGTCCAAATGCGGCTACAGTGGATATGAAAGGTGATACACAACCAGCAATACCTAACCAAGGCTTACTGCACAGAACATCAGTCGATAAGCAAGAAACTGCCGCAAATATCAGCATAATTGGAGCAGAAATAACCATGATAGAAAAAATACTTTCGCCAATACGGTTAATTTCGTTATTGACAGACTGGCTAAGGAACTTATAAACTTCAATATTATTCAAATTAACTTTGGTTAATGTCTCTAAAAGCGATTCTTCCCATTTCAGTGCCATATCTTTCTTCTCTTCTGTGGCACTCTCCAGTGGATAATACAGTCTAATTGCCTTGAAATCTCGAACCATATTTTCCTTATTTATAGTGACTCCTCCAAGTTCAAAACCGGAGACTACTACGTTTCCACGTATTTTGTCAACTGGATATCTGCAAATAAATATAATTTTTTTGTAACATTAAATAAATATATACCATTTTAAGTATATGATAAAAATTTAAAAATAGAAATTATCTCTTTATACAAAATCCAATTTCAAATTGCAATGCGGTGGTAAATCATCTGTACATTTATGATCGGTTGTATTACTTATACAGATACTATAATTATAGTCAGTTTAGGGCAATATTTATGAAAGAAAATTTATGTTGTTGAATGTTAATTTGTGATTAACCTATGTCTGAAATTGCAGTTAATATACTGAAATACTATTGACACATACAAAGCAAAATTTAATAAGAACAATAGGTAATGATTCTGTTTACTAATGTTTTTCTGCGATTATTCCTGATGTTCCAAGGCTAGAACATCTAAAATACTTGGAATTCATCAATTTTACCAAAACTACATATTTTAAAATTACTACAGAAGTTTAAGCATTATAAGATAAATAGAATGGTTTGTTATTTGTGGTCATTCAATACAATTCACAGTAAACAACTTTATAATGTTTGCACGATACTTTTTTTTTATTTTCACATACATTTTAATTTACCTGACATAATAAATTTTTTCAGGAATATTTTCTGTTGATTTACCTATCTCTTGGTATTTAGAATATAAATTTTGTGATGTTATTCGGTATTTTCATATTATTGCATTTGTGACCTCACACATACATCATAGTAATGAACAATTAATAAAATGAGGGAATGAACAACTTTAAAGTTAATATTTGAAACTACTCACTAACAAATGACGTTAAATGATTAATAAACACTTAGATCTGTACTTGTTTGTTAATTATTTTATAATATATCAAATAAAACGACACAGATGTTACAAGAAAACTCGGTGTTTACTACATTTGAGTAAAGAATTACATGAACATAATAGAATACTCAAAAACTAGCCTGTATTTTATGACACCCACGTGGAGTTACTGCTTGACTGTTCATTTCGTGTGATTTTTGGCGTCAAACTGGTACTAACACCTCTCCAACTAAGAGCACCACCTTATTACAGTAGACTCCCCTATAATTACGGTCCCTATAATTACGATTCCTATAAAACTGCGAAAAAATTGCAATTACCGTCGCAATTTTTTCGAAGTTTTATAGGAATCGGGTTAGTAATCGGGTTACTAATAGAGATTTCTTTTAAATATATTTATCTTGTTAGATGAAAAGAAAAATCCAGTATATAAACTGGTTTAATATTTAACACTTATTCTAAAATGTATGGTTCTTGGATTAGTACTAGTCTATAGACTATTTATGGTAAAGTTTTACTTTTCTGACAGATTGTATAACAACATTATGTAACTTATTAAACAGAATAACAGAAACATTAGTATAACAGATTTATTTTACAGAATAAATGTTATAATATTATTCGTGGACTGAAAACACTTTAAAATTTAAAATAAATATAATAATTGAAATTAAAACTTTCAGCCATTTAAAGTAATATTTTATAATAACTGAGAATAATGTAACATACTGCAAATTGTATATTCTAACGAGTTTCTTAATAATTATTTTATTATAAATTAAACAATANCTATATGTAACATGTAAAGTTTGTGAGAATGGTTTTCTTTCTGTTCATGTAATTTTAATTTATTTTAATGTTTATAGCACATAGATAGTGCGAAATATATACCGTGACCTAGGAACTGCTGATGGCTCCATAAGGAACGTTGGTGTCATGACCTTACATTTATAGACCTTGAGCAAATCTAATGTAGGTAGAAATAAATTGATGTACAGGAATCTCATAGAGAAACATGGAAAGGAATAGTTCATCAAATGCAACTCTCTGTAAAGAGGATGCCACTGGATAGATAGATAGTACAGAAATCCAATATATGTTTTTTAATAAGATGTACTGTGCAACATTATCTAAGTTACGGTATATAAATGTAACTGCCAAGTTTAGTAGCAATTAGTAAAACGGCCTAGAAGTGTATAGCAAACAAACAAACATTTTCATTTATATATACAAATAAATTTTACATTGTTATTATTCTAATAAAAGTGCTGTTATTCAATTAAGCGTTATAGTTACATTTAAAAAACCAGCAACGAGTTGCATAATTTTCCCGCCTATTATGAGATATTATATAGAAAATAACTTTTGTAATTTTAAATACAATATAACTTAATAAAATTTGGTGGGGAGACATTGGTTATGAGATTTTGTTATATAAAACTTTTTATATTTTCAATTACTATAAAATGGCAAAGTTTCTCATTCCCTTGACCTTTAACCATCAAAATGTAAAAGCATCAATGTCCCTCATAAACAAGACACCATGTCAAATTTCGTTACTTATTCTTTAGTTCGTCCTGAAATATCAATATTAAGCGAAATAGAAGCCAACACACCCCACATATACATACATATCCACGGAATTTTTTTGCTTTATTTTACTTTTTGGATTTAAAAGGTCTCAAAACGTGGAGATTTGCAAAAACTCGGAGAGTGAAATTTGACACGATTCAATTACTTTCCCTTGAAAAATAAACATAAAAACTTACTTGACATTGTGTATTCCTTTCTTCATGTCATCTGCCTTTCCTTTAAAAGATAAAACATAATTTTCGTGGCAAGTAATCCCATCCGGCTTACAACATATGTCTTCATAACGAACGAATGCGTTATTCCATAGAAAACTGACATTTCGTATAATTTTGTCAAGTTTGATGACCTCTTCAAGTATTGTTTCTTCTAACATGGAATTTTCATATTTTGATGTTACTTGTATGGCTACAGTTCCTTCGAATCTAGATAATCTTCTGTAATCGCACTCTGACTTGTTTGTGGAAAATATTGATTCGATTGCTGCTCTGTCTGTTTTAATTCTTGCATCGGATGGTACATAAAGATATTCTATGTCCTTCGAAGGTGATATATTCAATACTCCAGTCGCAAACACAATTGAAAGTATGAAGGAAATTGCCACATATAGTTGCGGGTAACATCCTACGTTGTACCCAATGCGAGATAAGGTGACAGAAACGACTCTTCTTACAAAATCACGCCTCATCTCACTACGAAAAACAGTGAAACGTAGTAAACACTCTGTAACATATACAATATTAGCTCTATCACTAAGGAGATGTTTTTATTAAAGTGAATTTTTTTTAATAAAATTGTGAAATGATGCAATCAAAAAGAAATATTGAATAGGTTATCAGAAAAAACCGAAATGTCAAAAAAAGCAAAACATTTATTGCCTTAACATTTCACTTTCTATATCAATCACCGCATTAATTTAGGCATCATTTGTCTATTATTAAAATGCTCCTCATTATTACGGGTTTAATATTTAACTGTACTTCAACTGTGTAACATTCTTTACAGTTATTTAATTTATAGCCTAATGTTTTGTATATTTATATAAAGAATTATTAATTGCAACACATTGGGAGCATCGCAAAGTGACAGAACATAAGGTGTGGATCTGTGGATCCGAAGGAGGAGTTATGAGAACAACGCTTAGTAATTCAAATACATGAAACTTGCGAAAGTTTCTCGAATATAGTAAGAGAATATTAAGATTCAATTACATAAGATATATACAATATGCCTATTCAGATATAAATACATGTACGGCACTTAACGACAGTATAAAATTAAATTTAGTGCCGTTTATTCAAGTTACTCGTAAATTTACATTAACCTCAACTAAATAAAAGTAAAACGTAATAATAGTATAAACAGAATAAAAATTGTAAAAATTTATTTAGATTTACTTACAAAGAGCATCCGAGTTAAATAATATCAGGGACGAAAGTGTCGAAGTTTCAATGTTTGTCGCACTATCTGTAAAATGTTTGATAAGATCAATTAAATAACGTAATCAAATAAAGAACGTCTCCAAAGCACAAAGTACAAATAATATGATAAGAGTTTTAAAACATATAAATATCGTTTACAAATAAGGGTTATTGTAATTAAAGACATCCGTTACGCTCCTTTTTAAAGTTAATTAATTAAAGCATATAATTTAATACGAATCTAAGTAACATCATTAAAGTATTTTTCACTCGTTCGTTCAACTAATTCTTTCATATAGATAATTGATAACAGGTTGCTATTAAATCAACAGATTCATCTCAATCAATTTATACGTGTATAGATAACAATGCTATTTGCATGTTAATATTTAATACAAATTATTCAAAAATTTACTTTACTCGCTAGTAAGTGTTGCTTTTATTGAATTATAATTATAAAAATACAGTATAATTCTTTGTAGTATATGAAGTGTAAGCGGTAAAACAACAGGTCAGCAAAATGCAGTGATAAATAATTATTTAGATAACACTTCATAATAAGTTTTTTGTGATATCATCTTTCATAAATTGTATCTGAGATGAATAATTTAAACAATTATACGCACAATATGACCTAGAACTTGACATAGCAACGGTTTTCTTATTTAACTATAGTTCTTTCTATATTATACACTTTGATTACTCTTAGAATTTATAGTAAGGAAGCTTATCTTTAATTTATTATTTATATGTCAAACTGTATTATATTTTTATAAACAACGTAAAAGCAGCTTTTATTTTTGATTAATCTCGAGTTCAAAGATTTTTTATTAAAGTTCATTGCCATCGTTTGAATGTTAACTGTTATAATATTAATCAAACAAAACTACTTTGTAAGTTTTAGTAACCGATTGTTTAATATACAATTATTATTGCGTTTGATATGACTGTTTATCTAAGAATACTGATACTTTGTTAACATATTTTATAAGTTGTTTAAGATAACATTTTTACTTTTTTAAAATTAATTATTTTAGATATTAAACGCTTCAATCAATAGCAGATACACCCGATGATCATAATTAAAGAGTACGTGTTCAGACTTCTCTGTACAAAGAACTATTGGGCCTATCATTACCAAATTCGTGACATTTCCTCTCCAAAATATCACGTTTTAAATGAAATTATTCTAAAGTCTAACTTGTTTCAATGGAATTTGGCAATGGTTGTTATATTGTTGCTTTTTATTCATTTCAACGAGCCTTACAAATACATGTATTAAAACTTTAATACTAATACTAAATATATATACTGAAATGTTGGTATATATACATATTTTAGTTTATTTATTTTTACTTTTATTTGCATTTTTTACAGAAATCGCTCTTACAGTTGTAATAAAGCTGACTCTCAATTTACATGCAAGTGACTTCACTTGCATGTAAGTTGCACAAAATGCGGTATAATCAATAATAAGTAATAAATATATGCAACAACCTTGAAAAAAATTAATACAATCAGAGAATGATTGGCCGTAGAGCAGTTCTTGCAAATACCAGAAGGGCTAGAATGCGCCTGTACTGTTAGAAATTGTAGAAATAAAAGAGCTATTAGTTGAAATTTCCAAGTATATTCAAACGTAAATATTTATTATACAAAACATTTTCAGTTCGTTTTATTTTACCGCCCTGTTAACTCATTTTTTGGCATTTTATTATATAACACTAATTTCTAAAGCAGCCCGGTGGTTACCAGACTCAAAATCATGTCACAGCCCACCACTCAGTATAATAACAAATTGCTGTTTTATGATAGAAACTTTAGAAAGCAAAATCACCACAGACAAATTCCAAGTTCTAAAACAAAGTTCAACTTTATTTATGAATTTGAATAATAAATATTTTGACATCAATTTCGTGTATGTAATTCAATACTTTTCTACTGTTGTTGATAACGAAGAGGTAAAAGCGCATAGATACTGTACCAATCAGCAAAACGATTTTGGCATTCTTATATCTGTATAGTTATTGAAGAAATCGTAACTTTATCTATGTAAGATATCGTTTTGTTAAATATAATAGACACCCGTTAGCATCAAACTCCTGTGAGGCCCTTGCAAGGGTTAACGTTAAGCGATAGTTGACCTTAACGAGTATTATGCAATCTCTGCCTTAAGAACGGTAATATTTTACTTTACCTGTTATTGTAATACTGCAATTTATATTTTCAGAAATTTTCCAAGCAAAGAACCACGGAAGCTTGCAGAAGTAACCTTCAAATGCCTACGACAAGAAACACTACGAGGTAAAAAAATAATAATTTAATAATTTCCGACGCTTTAAAATACTATTTTTCAAATATTTCTTTAAATATACTAATGATTTTATCATTTACAAATCGAGATTTAAGTCAAAACTTTATACCTCAGCTTAGGGAAGAGAAGCAACAAGAAAACGAAGAAATGGAAAGTAGAACAAGAAAGTGTCGACCAACGTATTATAAAATAAATAAAATTAAATATTTACTATTATTTTGAGATAAAAAAATAGCTCGTTTGGATGGCATAAAAACCCAATTACAATATAACACGGTCATAGAATAAATATGGAATAAATAGGATGGCACGTGTAAAATTACGTATGCAATTAATGATAATGTAATATAAACTAATCAGTAATATCTGATGTATTGTCAAGGCAAATCTTTTCATACAATATTTTCAATTAATATTTAATAAACCTTTCTAGAATGATATTAACTAAAATACTTTAAATATTAATTCTTAAAAATTAATTTTTCTTATTGATAATTCAATAAATAAAACGATTTTCTTTCAATCTTTTATATATTTGATAATGTTTATCACATGAAATGATAAGTGATCAATGACCTGGGAATAATTTACATTACACGCGAATGAACTTGTAGATTAAATGTTTAGTTTAAAGCAGGACTGTTTACGTCATCGGAGAAGCTAAATAAACTTAAGCTGAATCGAATTGTAAATGTTTATAAATATAAAAAAACGCCACTATCACTTAATGTGTTTTCGTCGTAAACATTTCTATAAATTTAATTATTTTGTGTATAGATGCAACGTTTTACATAAGAAGAATCTTAAAGTATGTATTTAAATTAAAAATGTACAAAACATCACTATTAAATAATTACAAAAACCCCTTTTTGTTTTGCTTTTCTCCTTCGTGGACTTTAAAAAGGCCTATTCTTCATACCTGCCGTAGCTAAGTCATGAAAACAATGGGGGAAGTAGCTAGTGAAAGAGTGTGACAGACGTATCCCATAAAAATCATGGAGAGTTGCTTCACCGCATTTGATTCTAACTCCTCGGAGCGGCAGAGATATGTTATTCTATGGGCAAATAGGGCAAATGCCTGGAACCACCATTAACAGGAGACCTCAAACCAATTTTTTATAACAAAATATTTTTCCCTCAAAAATTTCTGGAAGAAAACTGTCTGAAGTTAACACTGTGGGGGGTCCCCTATTTCGAATTTGCGTCTATGAAGGTGTAACGCGCTACTGCAGAGAGATTAGCTGACTCCTAACTGCTTCTGCATTAAAGAAACTATAAGTCTCAAAAAACAAGTGGTCTATGTTTCCTTTATTATACAGTATCACGTGTAATGTGGAATAAATTTCATCTGCATCTTTTTCCTAATTAGCTATTAAAATGAAATGTTAATCCTACACGAATTTCGTGTGGTGTGAACCATCATACGCCGAGTATTATTTTTAAATTTTTGCACTGTATTTTATTAGCAGCATTGTTCTTTCTTGACTTTTTCATTTTGCAACAGTAAAGAATTAACAATCATCACATGCACTTAGAATAGTTTTAATTAGTGATTTGAGCTTGTTTTGAGTGTATCACACTCATCAATAATTATAGTGATAAATTTAAAAAAATCAAAAAGTAAGAGTTACAACAAAGAAATGGATTTTCATAGATAATGATGAAGATATATCAAATTCAAATATCTTTATTGATTTTTAAAGCAACCCAATTTCAAGAATCAAAAATCCTGTCTCTACAATAGAAAAACAGATTAATGTATACCATTGTGAGAAATATCACGAAAGAAAAACTCTATGCATGAATTGCAGGCATAAGGAGATGTTATGTCCACAACATTATTATATTATGAAGATGGAAAAAACCGTTAGTAAAACTTCAACTGCACACAAAATAATCCTTTGTAATGTTGATGTTCACGAGGTTTAATTCTATATATTAGAGATAAAATAACCTATCGTTTTTATGGTTATTTTTTATTACACTTGAGAAAACGGTTAATGTTACTCTAGGTATCGAAGATGGCGGCGCTTCCGGTAATCTCGTATCAGATTACCAAGTGATGTCTGTGACAGAAGGCGCTGTATTACAACACGGTGTGATATGCAAATTAATACAATTAAATGGACGAGGGGAGTGTTAAAGGTAGATTTGCGTTAACGTGTTGGTTTGATGTAATGTTGTTAGATAAATTATAATCATATAAATTGAAAACGAAATTAACATTTTTAAAACTTTAATATTTATTTTGTTAGATATTCTTTATAATAATTTTTCCAAATGAGTAATTTCGACATTAACTCAGAAGAGTTTTGGCTAGGATGCACCTCCCACGATTTTTTCCCTCTTCTCGAATATGAGTATTCTGAATTGGGTTTGGATACCAGAATCGATAAAGGGTTCATATTTGCAGTAAAACTATGATTATAGCATGTCGATGTATGCTCGAAATGTTCAAAACCTTGCAAAGTAGTTTATCGTAATGACAGAAAATCCTGTGCAATGAGATGTCAAAAATGCTGGAACAACAGTTCAGCATTTGATGGTACTTTTAAAGGTAAATTTGGTAAAATTCCCTGGAGTAGCATATTGTCGTTTATATGGCATTTTCTAGCATTGGAATGCTCAACAATTACATCAGCTAATGATGCCGGAATTTCTAATAAGGCTGATGTCGACTGGTCGAACCATGTCCGATTCGTGATGCTAGTCGCTTTGCACAATATCCTATCATTTAAAATTCGAGTTCCGAGTAAAACAGTCGAAATAGACGAGACCGTTATCTGTAAGGGCAAATACGAAAAAGGCCCTAAACTTAAAAACAATAAGTGAGTAGTAGGCGGAATATGCAGAGAAGATAAAAGCTGCTTTATATGTCAAGTGAACGATAGGTCGGAAATTACGCTTAATTGAATCGTCTCTAAATTTGTAAATTCAGGGAGCACAGTTTTGACAGACGAATGGAAGGATACAGCCATATAGTCGACTTGGAAGGCATAAAAATTACCCATAAGACAGTTAATCATTCGGGGAATTTCGTAAACCGAAGAACAGGGGTTAATACAAAAAACATAGAAAGATTATGGGGATACTTGAAAAACAGAAAACCTATCGAAACATTACACAGAAGACCTATCAGATTCGTATATGTACTCCTTTATGTATAAAAAATACCATAATTAGCCCTCAAAAAAACCAGGTGAACGTTTCTACATTTTTGTGCAACATTTAAGTAAGATATATGTCGGATCCGGAAGATTACCATTATGAAAAGAGCCCGAGACTGTCTGCTGCTCCTGTTAATAAAAGTAAGAACAAAGAAAATGCGGTGGAACAAAAAAAAAAAAAAAAAAAAAAAAAAAAAAAANGTTAATAAAATAATTAATAACAGTTTAATTAGAAAACTTTATTCTAATTCGAAAATTATGTCCTAAATAGTTAAGCAAGAAAGTAATCTTAAAGAAGAATGTAATGCAATTATTTAATTTATATTATAATCATTTTGTTTAAACAAAATAATTTGTATTAAATTTAAATAACACGATATCGATGATTTATGAATTTTCAGAGTTTAATTCTATTGACCCCTTCCATTTTTAGCAACATTTTAGTTTCTGCTTTTACATGTAAACTAGTTTAAATATTTTAATGCAGCGCATTGAAGCATTCGTGCTTTATTTATCTCTATGACACTTTTTAATTTTAAATAATGTTTAAGAATATACATAACGATTATACAAGTGTGTTTGATCAATCATTAATATAAATGTGAAAAATTAGAATAAAAGTGGTATGTTTTCACATTTTAAACTCATTTATTTAAATATCCTCGCCATCAATACTTCATTTGTCTACTTCTTTTGTGTTCTTAATATTAATATCATTATTAACGCAATATGTAACTTATCCAGTTATGCTACTGTATGCTTTCGAACAGTGTTTGTCTAGCACCCTGTCAGTTTTCCTTACATTCTTTGTATAAGAATGTACTTGTTTGAGATGTACGAATGATAGGAAGCGTAACGGGTCTTAGAAAGAACTGGAGCATACACTCATGCCAATACACCATTCATTGTAAAATCGAACAATAAACCCTATTGGTTCCTCATCTGAATTTTAAATTAAAAATTTATATATAATGTTTTTTTTTTAATGTAAAATTTTCTTAAAACTTACCTAGCATCAGAAAAAGAATTATGGCGTTCAATGCAAAGTAATTTACTTTGCAGTATGTCAGTAGTCCAAATGCGGCTACAGTGGATATGAAAGGTGATACACAACCAGCAATACCTAACCAAGGCTTACTGCACAGAACATCAGTCGATAAGCAAGAAACTGCCGCAAATATCAGCATAATTGGAGCAGAAATAACCATGATAGAAAAAATACTTTCGCCAATACGGTTAATTTCGTTATTGACAGACTGGCTAAGGAACTTATAAACTTCAATATTATTCAAATTAACTTTGGTTAATGTCTCTAAAAGCGATTCTTCCCATTTCAGTGCCATATCTTTCTTCTCTTCTGTGGCACTCTCCAGTGGATAATACAGTCTAATTGCCTTGAAATCTCGAACCATATTTTCCTTATTTATAGTGACTCCTCCAAGTTCAAAACCGGAGACTACTACGTTTCCACGTATTTTGTCAACTGGATATCTGCAAATAAATATAATTTTTTTGTAACATTAAATAAATATATACCATTTTAAGTATATGATAAAAATTTAAAAATAGAAATTATCTCTTTATACAAAATCCAATTTCAAATTGCAATGCGGTGGTAAATCATCTGTACATTTATGATCGGTTGTATTACTTATACAGATACTATAATTATAGTCAGTTTAGGGCAATATTTATGAAAGAAAATTTATGTTGTTGAATGTTAATTTGTGATTAACCTATGTCTGAAATTGCAGTTAATATACTGAAATACTATTGACACATACAAAGCAAAATTTAATAAGAACAATAGGTAATGATTCTGTTTACTAATGTTTTTCTGCGATTATTCCTGATGTTCCAAGGCTAGAACATCTAAAATACTTGGAATTCATCAATTTTACCAAAACTACATATTTTAAAATTACTACAGAAGTTTAAGCATTATAAGATAAATAGAATGGTTTGTTATTTGTGGTCATTCAATACAATTCACAGTAAACAACTTTATAATGTTTGCACGATACTTTTTTTTTATTTTCACATACATTTTAATTTACCTGACATAATAAATTTTTTCAGGAATATTTTCTGTTGATTTACCTATCTCTTGGTATTTAGAATATAAATTTTGTGATGTTATTCGGTATTTTCATATTATTGCATTTGTGACCTCACACATACATCATAGTAATGAACAATTAATAAAATGAGGGAATGAACAACTTTAAAGTTAATATTTGAAACTACTCACTAACAAATGACGTTAAATGATTAATAAACACTTAGATCTGTACTTGTTTGTTAATTATTTTATAATATATCAAATAAAACGACACAGATGTTACAAGAAAACTCGGTGTTTACTACATTTGAGTAAAGAATTACATGAACATAATAGAATACTCAAAAACTAGCCTGTATTTTATGACACCCACGTGGAGTTACTGCTTGACTGTTCATTTCGTGTGATTTTTGGCGTCAAACTGGTACTAACACCTCTCCAACTAAGAGCACCACCTTATTACAGTAGACTCCCCTATAATTACGGTCCCTATAATTACGATTCCTATAAAACTGCGAAAAAATTGCAATTACCGTCGCAATTTTTTCGAAGTTTTATAGGAATCGGGTTAGTAATCGGGTTACTAATAGAGATTTCTTTTAAATATATTTATCTTGTTAGATGAAAAGAAAAATCCAGTATATAAACTGGTTTAATATTTAACACTTATTCTAAAATGTATGGTTCTTGGATTAGTACTAGTCTATAGACTATTTATGGTAAAGTTTTACTTTTCTGACAGATTGTATAACAACATTATGTAACTTATTAAACAGAATAACAGAAACATTAGTATAACAGATTTATTTTACAGAATAAATGTTATAATATTATTCGTGGACTGAAAACACTTTAAAATTTAAAATAAATATAATAATTGAAATTAAAACTTTCAGCCATTTAAAGTAATATTTTATAATAACTGAGAATAATGTAACATACTGCAAATTGTATATTCTAACGAGTTTCTTAATAATTATTTTATTATAAATTAAACAATAAATAAAGTTGAAGTATATATTTCTATTATTTGTCTACTGTTTAATAAATTTTTATAAATATACTTATTTAATTCTCTATAAAAATAAATAAATTTAGTTTATATGCATAAGAAAACTCCTAAACGAAGGAAATTATTCTCTTGCAAATATTTTTGAAGGTTTACTTTACGTAACATGTAAAGTTTGTGAGAATGGTTTTCTTTCTGTTCATGTAATTTTAATTTATTTTAATGTTTATAGCACATAGATAGTGCGAAATATATACCGTGACCTAGGAACTGCTGATGGCTCCATAAGGAACGTTGGTGTCATGACCTTACATTTATAGACCTTGAGCAAATCTAATGTAGGTAGAAATAAATTGATGTACAGGAATCTCATAGAGAAACATGGAAAGGAATAGTTCATCAAATGCAACTCTCTGTAAAGAGGATGCCACTGGATAGATAGATAGTACAGAAATCCAATATATGTTTTTTAATAAGATGTACTGTGCAACATTATCTAAGTTACGGTATATAAATGTAACTGCCAAGTTTAGTAGCAATTAGTAAAACGGCCTAGAAGTGTATAGCAAACAAACAAACATTTTCATTTATATATACAAATAAATTTTACATTGTTATTATTCTAATAAAAGTGCTGTTATTCAATTAAGCGTTATAGTTACATTTAAAAAACCAGCAACGAGTTGCATAATTTTCCCGCCTATTATGAGATATTATATAGAAAATAACTTTTGTAATTTTAAATACAATATAACTTAATAAAATTTGGTGGGGAGACATTGGTTATGAGATTTTGTTATATAAAACTTTTTATATTTTCAATTACTATAAAATGGCAAAGTTTCTCATTCCCTTGACCTTTAACCATCAAAATGTAAAAGCATCAATGTCCCTCATAAACAAGACACCATGTCAAATTTCGTTACTTATTCTTTAGTTCGTCCTGAAATATCAATATTAAGCGAAATAGAAGCCAACACACCCCACATATACATACATATCCACGGAATTTTTTTGCTTTATTTTACTTTTTGGATTTAAAAGGTCTCAAAACGTGGAGATTTGCAAAAACTCGGAGAGTGAAATTTGACACGATTCAATTACTTTCCCTTGAAAAATAAACATAAAAACTTACTTGACATTGTGTATTCCTTTCTTCATGTCATCTGCCTTTCCTTTAAAAGATAAAACATAATTTTCGTGGCAAGTAATCCCATCCGGCTTACAACATATGTCTTCATAACGAACGAATGCGTTATTCCATAGAAAACTGACATTTCGTATAATTTTGTCAAGTTTGATGACCTCTTCAAGTATTGTTTCTTCTAACATGGAATTTTCATATTTTGATGTTACTTGTATGGCTACAGTTCCTTCGAATCTAGATAATCTTCTGTAATCGCACTCTGACTTGTTTGTGGAAAATATTGATTCGATTGCTGCTCTGTCTGTTTTAATTCTTGCATCGGATGGTACATAAAGATATTCTATGTCCTTCGAAGGTGATATATTCAATACTCCAGTCGCAAACACAATTGAAAGTATGAAGGAAATTGCCACATATAGTTGCGGGTAACATCCTACGTTGTACCCAATGCGAGATAAGGTGACAGAAACGACTCTTCTTACAAAATCACGCCTCATCTCACTACGAAAAACAGTGAAACGTAGTAAACACTCTGTAACATATACAATATTAGCTCTATCACTAAGGAGATGTTTTTATTAAAGTGAATTTTTTTTAATAAAATTGTGAAATGATGCAATCAAAAAGAAATATTGAATAGGTTATCAGAAAAAACCGAAATGTCAAAAAAAGCAAAACATTTATTGCCTTAACATTTCACTTTCTATATCAATCACCGCATTAATTTAGGCATCATTTGTCTATTATTAAAATGCTCCTCATTATTACGGGTTTAATATTTAACTGTACTTCAACTGTGTAACATTCTTTACAGTTATTTAATTTATAGCCTAATGTTTTGTATATTTATATAAAGAATTATTAATTGCAACACATTGGGAGCATCGCAAAGTGACAGAACATAAGGTGTGGATCTGTGGATCCGAAGGAGGAGTTATGAGAACAACGCTTAGTAATTCAAATACATGAAACTTGCGAAAGTTTCTCGAATATAGTAAGAGAATATTAAGATTCAATTACATAAGATATATACAATATGCCTATTCAGATATAAATACATGTACGGCACTTAACGACAGTATAAAATTAAATTTAGTGCCGTTTATTCAAGTTACTCGTAAATTTACATTAACCTCAACTAAATAAAAGTAAAACGTAATAATAGTATAAACAGAATAAAAATTGTAAAAATTTATTTAGATTTACTTACAAAGAGCATCCGAGTTAAATAATATCAGGGACGAAAGTGTCGAAGTTTCAATGTTTGTCGCACTATCTGTAAAATGTTTGATAAGATCAATTAAATAACGTAATCAAATAAAGAACGTCTCCAAAGCACAAAGTACAAATAATATGATAAGAGTTTTAAAACATATAAATATCGTTTACAAATAAGGGTTATTGTAATTAAAGACATCCGTTACGCTCCTTTTTAAAGTTAATTAATTAAAGCATATAATTTAATACGAATCTAAGTAACATCATTAAAGTATTTTTCACTCGTTCGTTCAACTAATTCTTTCATATAGATAATTGATAACAGGTTGCTATTAAATCAACAGATTCATCTCAATCAATTTATACGTGTATAGATAACAATGCTATTTGCATGTTAATATTTAATACAAATTATTCAAAAATTTACTTTACTCGCTAGTAAGTGTTGCTTTTATTGAATTATAATTATAAAAATACAGTATAATTCTTTGTAGTATATGAAGTGTAAGCGGTAAAACAACAGGTCAGCAAAATGCAGTGATAAATAATTATTTAGATAACACTTCATAATAAGTTTTTTGTGATATCATCTTTCATAAATTGTATCTGAGATGAATAATTTAAACAATTATACGCACAATATGACCTAGAACTTGACATAGCAACGGTTTTCTTATTTAACTATAGTTCTTTCTATATTATACACTTTGATTACTCTTAGAATTTATAGTAAGGAAGCTTATCTTTAATTTATTATTTATATGTCAAACTGTATTATATTTTTATAAACAACGTAAAAGCAGCTTTTATTTTTGATTAATCTCGAGTTCAAAGATTTTTTATTAAAGTTCATTGCCATCGTTTGAATGTTAACTGTTATAATATTAATCAAACAAAACTACTTTGTAAGTTTTAGTAACCGATTGTTTAATATACAATTATTATTGCGTTTGATATGACTGTTTATCTAAGAATACTGATACTTTGTTAACATATTTTATAAGTTGTTTAAGATAACATTTTTACTTTTTTAAAATTAATTATTTTAGATATTAAACGCTTCAATCAATAGCAGATACACCCGATGATCATAATTAAAGAGTACGTGTTCAGACTTCTCTGTACAAAGAACTATTGGGCCTATCATTACCAAATTCGTGACATTTCCTCTCCAAAATATCACGTTTTAAATGAAATTATTCTAAAGTCTAACTTGTTTCAATGGAATTTGGCAATGGTTGTTATATTGTTGCTTTTTATTCATTTCAACGAGCCTTACAAATACATGTATTAAAACTTTAATACTAATACTAAATATATATACTGAAATGTTGGTATATATACATATTTTAGTTTATTTATTTTTACTTTTATTTGCATTTTTTACAGAAATCGCTCTTACAGTTGTAATAAAGCTGACTCTCAATTTACATGCAAGTGACTTCACTTGCATGTAAGTTGCACAAAATGCGGTATAATCAATAATAAGTAATAAATATATGCAACAACCTTGAAAAAAATTAATACAATCAGAGAATGATTGGCCGTAGAGCAGTTCTTGCAAATACCAGAAGGGCTAGAATGCGCCTGTACTGTTAGAAATTGTAGAAATAAAAGAGCTATTAGTTGAAATTTCCAAGTATATTCAAACGTAAATATTTATTATACAAAACATTTTCAGTTCGTTTTATTTTACCGCCCTGTTAACTCATTTTTTGGCATTTTATTATATAACACTAATTTCTAAAGCAGCCCGGTGGTTACCAGACTCAAAATCATGTCACAGCCCACCACTCAGTATAATAACAAATTGCTGTTTTATGATAGAAACTTTAGAAAGCAAAATCACCACAGACAAATTCCAAGTTCTAAAACAAAGTTCAACTTTATTTATGAATTTGAATAATAAATATTTTGACATCAATTTCGTGTATGTAATTCAATACTTTTCTACTGCTGTTGATAACGAAGAGGTAAAAGCGCATAGATACTGTACCAATCAGCAAAACGATTTTGGCATTCTTATATCTGTATAGTTATTGAAGAAATCGTAACTTTATCTATGTAAGATATCGTTTTGTTAAATATAATAGACACCCGTTAGCATCAAACTCCTGTGAGGCCCTTGCAAGGGTTAACGTTAAGCGATAGTTGACCTTAACGAGTATTATGCAATCTCTGCCTTAAGAACGGTAATATTCTACTTTACCTGTTATTGTAATACTGCAATTTATATTTTCAGAAATTTTCCAAGCAAAGAACCACGGAAGCTTGCAGAAGTAACCTTCAAATGCCTACGACAAGAAACACTACGAGGTAAAAAAATAATAATTTAATAATTTCCGACGCTTTAAAATACTATTTTTCAAATATTTCTTTAAATATACTAATGATTTTATCATTTACAAATCGAGATTTAAGTCAAAACTTTATACCTCAGCTTAGGGAAGAGAAGCAACAAGAAAACGAAGAAATGGAAAGTAGAACAAGAAAGTGTCGACCAACGTATTATAAAATAAATAAAATTAAATATTTACTATTATTTTGAGATAAAAAAATAGCTCGTTTGAATGGCATAAAAACCCAATTACAATATAACACGGTCATAGAATAAATATGGAATAAATAGGATGGCACGTGTAAAATTACGTATGCAATTAATGATAATGTAATATAAACTAATCAGTAATATCTGATGTATTGTCAAGGCAAATCTTTTCATACAATATTTTCAATTAATATTTAATAAACCTTTCTAGAATGATATTAACTAAAATACTTTAAATATTAATTCTTAAAAATTAATTTTTCTTATTGATAATTCAATAAATAAAACGATTTTCTTTCAATCTTTTATATATTTGATAATGTTTATCACATGAAATGATAAGTGATCAATGACCTGGGAATAATTTACATTACACGCGAATGAACTTGTAGATTAAATGTTTAGTTTAAAGCAGGACTGTTTACGTCATCGGAGAAGCTAAATAAACTTAAGCTGAATCGAATTGTAAATGTTTATAAATATAAAAAAACGCCACTATCACTTAATGTGTTTTCGTCGTAAACATTTCTATAAATTTAATTATTTTGTGTATAGATGCAACGTTTTACATAAGAAGAATCTTAAAGTATGTATTTAAATTAAAAATGTACAAAACATCACTATTAAATAATTACAAAAACCCCTTTTTGTTTTGCTTTTCTCCTTCGTGGACTTTAAAAAGGCCTATTCTTCATACCTGCCGTAGCTAAGTCATGAAAACAATGGGGGAAGTAGCTAGTGAAAGAGTGTGACAGACGTATCCCATAAAAATCATGGAGAGTTGCTTCACCGCATTTGATTCTAACTCCTCGGAGCGGCAGAGATATGTTATTCTATGGGCAAATAGGGCAAATGCCTGGAACCACCATTAACAGGAGACCTCAAACCAATTTTTTATAACAAAATATTTTTCCCTCAAAAATTTCTGGAAGAAAACTGTCTGAAGTTAACACTGTGGGGGGTCCCCTATTTCGAATTTGCGTCTATGAAGGTGTAACGCGCTACTGCAGAGAGATTAGCTGACTCCTAACTGCTTCTGCATTAAAGAAACTATAAGTCTCAAAAAACAAGTGGTCTATGTTTCCTTTATTATACAGTATCACGTGTAATGTGGAATAAATTTCATCTGCATCTTTTTCCTAATTAGCTATTAAAATGAAATGTTAATCCTACACGAATTTCGTGTGGTGTGAACCATCATACGCCGAGTATTATTTTTAAATTTTTGCACTGTATTTTATTAGCAGCATTGTTCTTTCTTGACTTTTTCATTTTGCAACAGTAAAGAATTAACAATCATCACATGCACTTAGAATAGTTTTAATTAGTGATTTGAGCTTGTTTTGAGTGTATCACACTCATCAATAATTATAGTGATAAATTTAAAAAAATCAAAAAGTAAGAGTTACAACAAAGAAATGGATTTTCATAGATAATGATGAAGATATATCAAATTCAAATATCTTTATTGATTTTTAAAGCAACCCAATTTCAAGAATCAAAAATCCTGTCTCTACAATAGAAAAACAGATTAATGTATACCATTGTGAGAAATATCACGAAAGAAAAACTCTATGCATGAATTGCAGGCATAAGGAGATGTTATGTCCACAACATTATTATATTATGAAGATGGAAAAAACCGTTAGTAAAACTTCAACTGCACACAAAATAATCCTTTGTAATGTTGATGTTCACGAGGTTTAATTCTATATATTAGAGATAAAATAACCTATCGTTTTTATGGTTATTTTTTATTACACTTGAGAAAACGGTTAATGTTACTCTAGGTATCGAAGATGGCGGCGCTTCCGGTAATCTCGTATCAGATTACCAAGTGATGTCTGTGACAGAAGGCGCTGTATTACAACACGGTGTGATATGCAAATTAATACAATTAAATGGACGAGGGGAGTGTTAAAGGTAGATTTGCGTTAACGTGTTGGTTTGATGTAATGTTGTTAGATAAATTATAATCATATAAATTGAAAACGAAATTAACATTTTTAAAACTTTAATATTTATTTTGTTAGATATTCTTTATAATAATTTTTCCAAATGAGTAATTTCGACATTAACTCAGAAGAGTTTTGGCTAGGATGCACCTCCCACGATTTTTTCCCTCTTCTCGAATATGAGTATTCTGAATTGGGTTTGGATACCAGAATCGATAAAGGGTTCATATTTGCAGTAAAACTATGATTATAGCATGTCG